AAAATGAATATGATGAGAGAGAGAGACAGTAAACAGAGAAGCCAGAGAGCAATTTAGAGACCTATCTTTCAAAGCATGCGCACACACACACACACACACACACACACACACACACACACACACACACACACTCACAGAGGTAACGGTGTAACAAGATGATCTAACTTGTATCTAGCCTAACTTGTTAGGTTCACTTGGGCCTTCCAATATCATGCCCTGCGCCTTTTGTTTTGTACGAGTTTAGGTATGAACCCCTTAAACCCTCGATTTTCCTTGGCCTCAGTGGATGCCTTTCACATTCAGGGAAAGGAGTGTTCTGAATGGCAGATTGGGAAAGGCTTGAGCCTTTGTTAAGGGGGGGGAGGGAGAGAGAGAGAGGGAGAGAGAGAGAGAGAGAGAATATGAATGAGAATGTGAGCAATATTGCTTTTCATATCTGCCCAACTTGCAGGAGGGTGTGATGTTTGTGGGAGAACAGCTAAAGCTCCTCCAAAGCATGAGTAAATATTATCAAGCACATGAAGAAGGTACTAGAAGGGAATTATTCCACATAGACATGGGGAGCAAAGTGCTTCTTAGAAATAGCATGCTGGAAAGAAACTGCTCAGACATGATTAGGCGTAGCAGAAGCAAAGAGATACGAGCTGGATGACCTTGTGTGGTAGCTAGGGACATGGGGCAGCATGCCCTTCCTGTACCCCTGGGCTTAGGATCACATATGGGTTCCATATGTGGGGAGAAATCATGACTTCTATGTTTGTGGAGGTGGACGGAGGCCTCGGCACTGTTCTCTCCCAGCATCAGCCCTGTGGCCAGTCACAGCTTTCCACACAGCTTGATCAAGCCCCTACTCTGGGTGAAATATACCCTCCTGTGGTTGGTGTGGATGTCAGCTGGGGTTGAGTGTCCTATGTACCACCCACTAGACCTGATTTCTGTTGTCTCCCTCCTCCCGGGACCTATTTGGTTAGGGACCCACATGTCAGATGTGAGGGGTAAAGTGATGAAGAGTGGGGAGATTTGAAACCCCTCTCTCAGGACCCAAGCAGAAGGGATGTACCTGTCCCTCACAGACATCTCCTTCTCAAGGAGTAGCAACACACAAGGTTACAGGACAGGGCAGGCGTGACAAGAGTGTTATGACACAGGGGCTACCCTGTCAGCTGCCAGAGAAGAGAAGCAGGAGGGTGCAGGCAACTTGGGAGAGATGTTGTCAGTCATCTCCTTCTTTGTTAAACAGACTCCTCCAGCTGGGTGGATGTCAGACACTTGGGTTTTGACGTGAATCCCCTGCAGTCTTGTCATTTTGCATTCATTGCCCGCCTCCTACCAGGAGCTCAATTACAGAGAAGAAATGGAACCTCAAATAAGTGCTGCTGGGACAGCTAACAGCAGTGTTGCCTGTTGGCTTTCAGTTCATCCTGCATCTCCACCCTCCTGCCCCAGGATTCTGTTCTGCTCTTTGTACCAGTCCCTCAGCTGTTTAAGAAAGCAGCCTTCCTTCCACACCCCTCCTGGAGGGCCTTTCTCTGGGCCCCAGGCTATGGACCAGCCAAGATGATGTTTAAAGGAAAGGAAATCTATTTCTGTAGCCATCCCTATGCCAAAGAGTATGAGGCCCAATGAGGGAGAGAAAAGACACTTGTTCAGAGTCTATGAGCTCTACATTCTGCTCCATAGGCTCTGGCCCTAATCCTGTGCTCTTACAGATCTCCATAATCTACCATGTAGAGGTTATCTCCAGGGGTGATGGAGGGGAGGGAGACACCAGTAGAGTGAGATTCAGTAAGATGAAATGGGAGGATCCAGATCCAAAGCTAGTCTTTCTGACTGCTGGTAAGTGGCACAGTTGCCTTCATTTTACTCCAGAGAAACAGGCTTAGGGAGGTTAAAACTAATTACCTGAAAAAGAGATAAAGCCAGGGTTTGACTCCTCCCCCTCCCCATCAGCCTTCAAATACTGTAGACTATACACATTTAGGAAGACTCCTTCACATCTAGAAGGAACCTTAGGAGGTGATCCAGCCCTGGATCCCTCTCCATGCTGTATGGCAGTATCTCACTTTTGAGGTCTTATTTCTATCTGCAACTGTCCTTGAAAGACATGCCTGTACCTCTCTTGGATGCAAGTTTCAGTTTCTTATGGAATTAATTTTTTCCATGAAGACTGGGTTTAATTCTTGTCACTATAACTAAAGACCTACACATTTAGGAAGACTCCTCCTTCACATCTAGAAGGAACCTTAGGAGGTGATCCAGCCCTGGATCCCTCATACACATTTAGGAAGACTCCTTCACATCTAGAAGGAACCTTAGGAGGTGATCCAGCCCTGGATCCCTCTCCATGCTGTATGGCAGTATCTCACTTTTGAGGTCTTATTTCTATCTGCAACTGTCCTTGAAAGACATGCCTGTACCTCTCTTGGATGCAAGTTTCAGTTTCTTATGGAATTAATTTTTTCCATGAAGACTGGGTTTAATTCTTGTCACTATAACTAAAGACTGCCTCCCTCTGCTTTTTTTTTTTTTTTGGAGACAGGGTCTCACTATGTAGCCCCAGATGCTCACACACTGGCTGTGATCACACAGCCATCTGCCTGCCTGCCTCTGCCTCCTAGTGCTGAGATTAAAGGTGTATGCCACAATGCCTGGCTTTCTACTGTTTAACTGGTATTCTGGTGGGAAATTTGTAGGAGGATGGGGTGAGGAATGACCTAGGCCTGATAAAGTGTTCTCTCTTTCCCCCCTTTAGCCACCACCGTCTGTGACGCAGACACTCAGTTCCGATGCCAGGAGTCAGGGACTTGTATCCCACTCTCCTACAAGTGCGACCTTGAGGATGACTGTGGAGACAACAGTGATGAGAGTCATTGTGGTAAGGGGATGTTCTGGGGAGGGGCCTTGTGGTGTTCCTGGGCTGTGCTAGTCAGTGGGATGGATTGGTAGTAGAGATTTTCTGATGGCCATTCTACGATCTAGCATCTTCTGGCCGTATGAACATCTCCACCCACATGGCAGGGCTGAGTCACCTTGTTCCTCTGTTTAGGTGTTATAGAGCTTCTGTACTGTTTTTCATGTGAACTCTGTTCCTCTGGAAACATTTGATCCAGAGCTAATGGGACACTTTTATTCTTGGTCAGAAAAGATGGGGTCTGGTCTCAGTCTCCTGTCACTTACCTGTTCTTTGATTAGCCTTTGTTTTCCAGTCTGAAAAGTGGATCCTGTTTTGTCTCTTAGATTCTATAAGTGAAATGTGAAAGCCAGGATGTAGGGTTTTTGAGTGAATTCAGGGTTCTTTATTTTTCATTTTATTTATTATTATTTTGTATGTCCGTGATGTGTATGTGGGCACATGTATGCCATGCTTCTCTCTCTCTTTCCCTCCCCCTCCCTCCCTCCCTCCCTCCCAGTCTCTCTCTCTCTCTCTCTCTCTCTCTCTCTCTCTCTCGTGTGTGTGTAGGTCAGAGGACAACTCTGTGGAGTCAGTTCTCTCTTTCCACCTTGTGGGGATTGAACTCTTTGTAACTATAGAGTCTTGGCCCCTACCTCTTAGTGAGAATGCCTTTGTGACACTTTATTTCCCTTTTTCTTTTTGAGACAAGGTCTCACTATGTAGCCCAGGGTAGCCTGGAACAGCAGATCCTCCTGCCTTGGCCTCCTGAATGCTGGCTTTGTAGATGTGTGCCACTATGCTCAGCTGAACAGATTTAGTGTTTTTTTTTAAACCAATCTAATTCCATAAACTCTGTTGAAAGTCGGTTGCTGATATAAACATTGGTTTAGCATGTGTTTTCTAAGCGGAGATTGTTGTTTTTGGAAGATTAATGTGTTGTCATTGCATGGATGAATGGTAGGGATTCTCTGGTCTACTCTGACTAGGGTCCACCTTAATGACCCCAGGGAGCTTATTCAAGGTGACAGGATCATTTCATGTCAGAATGGGGAGCTAGGGTTCATATCTCATCTTTTGTAATGCCTTTTCTGTTGCGTGGCACTGCCCTGCCAGTTCTAGGAACCCTATCTTAGATAGTAGGCTCTGGTCCCAAGCTGCTACTTACCATAGAAGGAGACATTATGTATGCAGTGTACATAGCTCACCAGGTTAGAAGACCCATTGGCCTGCCTGGAAGGATATTGAGAATGGAGGCCCGACATAGACCCAGACATGTAGATGAGTTGCTGGGGTCCTGCCAGCCTTCCCGTCTGTCCACAGCATCAGGACCAGGCAGGCTCTGTGTTTATACATGGACAGGGCCTGCTTTGTTTATTGTGAGCATGTGGTTAACTTGCCCAGACTGAAACTTGGGGAGCTTGGGCTGCTAATAAACCATTTTAACACAAGTAAACAGGTAGAACACCTTCAGGGCCACTTTTACATAGAACGTGCCCTGGCCAGGCTGTAGGAGGAACAGGGATTTTTGTTGTTGTTCCATAATTTACTTTCATCAAATGCCATCAGTCATGGCCTAGGGATCCAGAATTGGTTTCCTTTATCCCTCCATTTCTGCTGCAGCGCTCTCAGAAGGCTGAAGTGTGGGGGTGGTTTTCCTGTAACAGAGAGGGAACCCCATATGGTCCCATGTCTCTAGTGTTCTCTGGTTCCTTAGCCAGGCGCACCACTGACCATTCAAAGCTTCTGCATCCCTGTTCTCTATCCCTGTGCTCAGTTCATGGCCCATTCTTGCTCACTGGTCTTGAAGCCATGTTGAGGCCCCACTTAGTTCTTTCTCTGATGCTAATCTTCTTTATAAGTTTCAGACTATCTGACTCAGGAATACCTCATTCACCGTATGTTCTATCAACCTGTCTTTGAGGACAGCAACCCGGGTAGTTGCCCTGGACCTCATACTTGGCTATTCTTTCTCTTTTAAAATTTTCATTTCTTTAAAAAAATATTTACTATTATTATTGTTTTGTGTTATGCATGCATGTGCCATGGCACACATGTGGGGGTCAGAGGACAACTATGTGGGGTTGATTCTCTCCTTCCATTTAAAAAAATTTCATTTATTATTTTCATTTTATGTGTATGAGTGTTATGTCTGTATGTATGTGAGTGCACCTGTGTTGTGCAATGCCCAAGGAGGTCAGAACTACAGTTACATAAGGTTGTTAGTGGACATATGGGAGCTGGGAATCGAACCTGCTGGGCCATCTTTCCAGCCCTTTTCCTTCCATTTTTACTTGGTTTCTGGGGATTGAACTTGGGTAGTCAGGCTTGCACAACAAGTGCCTTTAGTCTCCCATGTTCCTACCCTGCAGTTCTGTTTTCTGAGATTCAAGAACTGTCCTATTGGGCTTCTGTTAAAAAAGAAAATACATTAGACTGTATAACTTATAAACAATAGAAATTTATTTCTCCTAGTCCTGGAATTCTGGAATTCCTGGGTCAAGGCACCCCAAGCTGCCTGCTTTGTGCAGTTGGGTGGCAGAAGTGGGGAACAGCTCCAGCATGCCTCGGAGAGGTCACTGATCCCACACTTACATCTTTTAAAGTCCTTCCCTCTAGTTCTGTTGCTTTGATGCTGATTTTACACGTATGGATTTGGGGGGCAGTGTTCAGGCCATAGTGGGGTTTCATGATTCCCCCAGGACCTAGAAAAGATAGGAATCCTTTTTTTCATATTTTGATGAGCTGGACTGGGCCATTGGCCCCAGGAACCTTTCCTGTTGGAGAGCACAGCTGGAGACATGCCTGGAGCTCTGCTCACAGACAGTCCTGAGCTGTGTTTCCTCCTGTTGGAAATCTCAGCACTGAACTCACCTTCCTTGAGATGAGTGTCTCCTAGTGATCAAAAGCCTTGACCTCTTTCATTGCTTTTTTGTTAACCACAGGCTGTCTCTAGGATATTTTATTTCTTGAAAATTCTACTCCCTGGCCTCACTCCATCACTGCATACTAACTTTCTTTTCATCCTTAGCAAATGCAGAAATATTTGTGGAATAGGATAAGTGAACACCATGATAAACAGACACGGTTGTGTCAGTAGCTCAGCATGCTTGATGGGAATTATTCCAGGTGACCTTACACCTTACACCTTTGTTTGGAGTTCTTTCTGTCCACACTGTCTACAGATTATCAATGATGTATGTCCCCTGGTGAGGTCTCTGTGTCTACCCTGTCTGTGAATGATCAGTGGCATGGGTCTGTTCCTGGCTCTTGTGAGCACTGGCTCCAGCAGTATTCTGCATGTTCATCCTCACGTCTCTGTTCTTTCTCCCCTGCAGAGATGCACCAGTGTCGCAGCGATGAATTCAATTGTAGCTCGGGGATGTGTATCCGTTCCTCCTGGGTGTGCGATGGGGACAATGACTGCAGGGACTGGTCTGACGAAGCCAACTGTACTGGTCAGTACTACCTAGATCTGGTTATTAGCACTCATACTAATTAGCATTAAGCCCTTAAATGATCATGGAATTTAGTTGCTGAAACTTAGCCTATTAGAATAAGCTAGTTCAGAACTTCTCAGAATTGGTGTGTGAAGAAATTAGGAGCTAGAATTAGCACTCAGTGCTGTTCTAAGGAATTTATATTGTGACTTAATCTCAGTTCTTCAGGATCAGTAAGAAGCAAACCACCCACAGACTGATGGTTGGTCTAGGGACCATGTTCTGAGTATCCCTCAACTAGTTCATATTGTTCAAATGGAGCATCTGAGTGTTCCCCAAAACAATTAACTTGTAAACTGTGCTTGCATTTCTTTGAGACTAGATTTCATCAGAAATAAACATGAAAGTGTCCTGAGTGGATGGAGATTGCTAGGTGGTATATAGTAGGTGGATGGGGATTGCTAGGTGGTGGATGGTAGGCAGACGGGGATTGCTAGGTGGTGGACAGTAGGTGGATGGGGGTTGCTAGGTGGTGGACAGTAGGTGGATGGGGGGATTACTAGGATTGCTAGGTGGTGGACGGTAGGCAGATGGGGATTGCTAGGTGGTGGATGGTAGGGATGGGGATTGCTAGGTGGTGGATGGTAGGGATGAGGATTGCTAGGTGGTGGACGGTAGGCAGATGGGGATTGCTAGGTGGTGGATAGTAGGCGGATGGGGATTGCTAGGTGGTGGATGGTAGGGATGGGGATTGCTAGGTGGTGGACGGTAGGAGACGGGGATTGCTACGTGGTGGATGGTAGGGATGGGGATTGCTAGGTGGTGGATGGTAGGGATGGGGGATTGCTACGTGGTGGATGGTAGGGATGGGGATTGCTAGGTGGTGGGCAGTAGGCAGATGGGGATTGCTAGGGATTGCTAGGTGGTAGACGGTAGACAGACGGGGATTGCTAGGTGGTGGATGGTAGGCAGACGGGGATTGCTAGGTGGTGGATGGTAGGGATGAGGATTGCTAGGTGGTGGACGGTAGGCAGATGGGGATTGCTAGGTGATGGATAGTAGGCGGATGGGGATTGCTAGGTGGTGGATGGTAGGGATGGGGATTACTAGGTGGTGAACGGTAGGCAGTTGGGGATTGCTAGGTGGTGGATGGTAGGGATGGGGATTGCTAGGTGGTGGGCAGTAGGCAGATGGGGATTGCTAGGTGGTGGAAGGTAGGCATGCTGTTTTGGTTCTTTTCTTGGTTCACTGATTCCACTACATTATTTCAGTGAATGGAAGTGCAGTGGTCATACACGTTATGGTATGTGTTGTGAGGCCTGAGGAGACCCTGGGTAGACCAGGGAGTTGGGAAGATTATGGCAGAATAAATACAAATCCTTTAAACACACTTCACTTTTACCTTATACTTTTGTGATACTATAATTTGTCAAAAATTGAAATTAAAATGGAAAACTGCCCAAATTCTCAGCTTCCCGTAGAAGTCGCAATACGGTTTGGCACTGAGTCCTCCAGAATGTTGGTACCATGAGTCACTGAGGATGCTCTGTGATGATGCTCTTAACCCGGGCCCTGAGAAGGCCCCCTTGCTTTCTTTGGTGTGGTCTCCATGTCTGTGCCTGGGAAGACTGCAAGAGAGGATAGTGCTTCAGGACAAGCATGGCCTGTGGAGGAGGAAACCCCAGGCCAGTCCAGGAACTGCCATGAGCAGTGAGCAGGCTTACAGTTTAGATGGATGATTAATTATCGCACTAGAGGGAGGCAGTTGGGTGTTCAGTTTGTAAATTGGAGTATGATTGCACATCTCGTTAGCACTGCTATGTCGGACCAACCCAGGTTCCAGCAGCAGGTGCCGGGCTTCCAGAACGAATTAGCACTTTGGGCGAGCTTGTCGTAAACTCCTGGTTTTATCTCTGCTTTTCTTCAGGCAGGCTCAGTGAGGAAACTTGAGTTTTGCCATTCAGTTGAAGCCTTTTTCCAGTAGTTCTTCAAATCCTTTTGAAGATTCTCCTTGTCATCTCAAAAATAGTTAAGGGTGATTCTGAGCTCATTATGACGTGGGTGTGACATGTCATTTCCTGATCTATTAAGTTAAGCCAAAGAAAATCAGTCAGGGCCAGCTCCTGGCAGCCTCAGCTGGCTTGTGCACTCTCCAAGCAATCCTTGTTCTCCCTTAATGTTACTATCTGAAGTCTGTCTGGGGTCTTTCTCCCTTCCACACACCCTTCATTGTTTTGCTGTTCACTTCACATATTTTATTTGTAGTTGTAATATTTTTTCTCTCTCCAAGGTATTCAAGCACTTGGAATCCCTGCCCACAATTCCAACATTAAAATACTTAGTAAACTACTGGGTTTTTTAAAACACTGTAAATACTTAGTATCTTTATTTTATGTTTTGAAAATCTGAAGTTTGGGGTTAGGAGTACAGGTCAGTGATGAAACATTTGCCCAGCATGCTTGAGACCCCGGGTCTTATTTATTTTGAGCATCACAAAATAAATAAAATGAATAAATAAATAAATGCCTAAAACTAGTCATTGTTATTTAAAATTTTTATTATATTTTATGTAGCGTGTGTATACAACACAACACACATATGAAAGTCAGAGGCCAACTTTTAGGAGTTCATTCTTCTCCCACCATATGGATCCCAGGGATCAAACTCAGGTTGTCAGGATTAGCAACAAGCACCTTCATCTGCTTAACCCTCTTGCCTGTCCCCATTGTTAGGACTTTAACCACCAAACCTATTTGTAAGTCTGTTACTCTTATCAGCCACCTTTGCTTCTTGTATCCAGTTGCTCCTTCCCTGTACGGCCCCTCAGTGGTTCTTACAACAGAAGTCTGAGAGTGCTAAGTCTTTCAGGGTTTTGTTAATATAAACATGTCTCTAACCCTCAGTCCTGGATTCTTATGAGTCTATTTCTAAGTTGATGTACTTTTCTGTAGTATATTGATGGGCCCATTCTGTTTCTTCCTGACCTCTTGTGCTCTCTCAGACTTTCTGCTCAAACAGTAACATGGCTCCTTTCTGTAGTTATCTTTAGTGTCTGTTGTTATGAAATTTCACCTACTTTATCTTAAGACTTGTTTTCTTTTAAAGATCTGAGGATTTATGGTTTTCATCTATGCTGAGCTCTTACAGTCCTGTAATCAGTGAGGCCTCCAGTCTCCAGCAGCTACTCCTAGCCAGCTGTTAGATACTGCCTGTTGCCCATTCTTTCTGTTTACTCTCTTCTGGACTCTGTCATAGAGTCCGAGTTACTTCTTCAGACTTACCTTCCAGTCCCTCAGTTCTATTTTCAGCCAAATCTAATTTGCTGTTTCACATGTCCGTTGAGCTATTTTTTAAAAATCTAGAACATCTATTTGGCTCTTTTTCAGATCTACCCGTTATTTTTTCAGTTCTCTTTCATTATGCTTGTGTTGTATGTCGTTAACTGCGTTTCTCAGGTCTTCACCCTCATGTACTCCCCAGTAGTCCAGTGCTTTGTAAGAAATGAGGCCGCCCTTTTCCTCGCTCCTCTAGCATTCATCTGTTTTGCCCCACTTATGTTTGGTTAATGTTTCAATGGGGGGCTTCCAGCAGATGTTGATGAGAAAAGGGAAAATCAAAGTCAGAGAGTAAGTGGTAGGGTAATGCCATTGTTAGAAACTGATGCTCCATCTCCAGGATGGTTGACCCCATTAATCCCACAGTGTCAGTGAATCCCATCATGCAAATGATTGCTTTAGTCCCCCAAATTCTATAGTCTGGATTAAAGTCAGTCTCTTCTGTCTTGATAACTAAAATATTCTTTTTTGAGCATACATTATTTACCAGACACTCAAAATCATAGGACTAGTAAATTACCCAGAAGATTTTTTTAAAAATCCATAAAAAGAGAATGTTATACATTCCGGGCATGTCTGGCCACTTGAGGGAAATTGTGCAAACTGATTAATCTTTCTGATCTCAGCATCTGGGCTCAAATTCGGAGATCTTAGACATGCTTCCCAGAATTGTCATTTGGAAACCCCACTAGCACTTCAAAATTGTTTTCAATTAAAAATGAAATACATAGGCTGAATAACAAGTAGATTAATGTGCAATAGGTTTAGGCAACTTCATGCTCTGTGAAAATGAGCAAAGCTTTTGCTAAGGAAGTTTGTAAAAGGCTTTCAGACTTGTGACACCAATAAATCAAAAATATTCCAGGCAGTAGCTGTTACTGGAGCAGGAAATCATGTAACATGCACGATTCATTGATTCCTCTTATCAGGAGAAGTATATTTTTAAAAGATGTGTAATGGCTTCTAAGTGCCAAAGCTTTTAAGTATTGAAAATTCCCTGTAGACATATGGATGTGCCTCCGAACACAGCCTTGATCTTCCAAGAGATGGAAGGACAGATAATGGATCTCTACTTGTTTTAAAGTGGTTTCAAGATTCAGATTCTGGGTATTTCTGACCACTGTGAAAGAATAGACTCATATTCTAGAGGACATTGTAAACTAGTTTCCCCCGCCCTTGAAAAGCTTGCTGCCCATCACTTCAATTGGATAAAATCTGTAACTTGTTCTCAAGAACTCGTTCTTATTTGTCTTATTTCCTTCTGCTGTGAAGATGTCTGTTCACACAGTTGAACCAACAGATAACCTGTCTGGGTACCAGCAGCTTTTTCACCTGTGGGTTTGCATAGTTACCTATGATCAACTGTCATCTAAAAATAGCAAATGGAAAAATTCCAGAAATAAGTCATATTTAAGTTTTCAATGAGTTTTATTATGCTATATTGTTATAATTGTTTTATTTTATTGTTTATTTCTTACTACTTCTGTGATTAAAATGCATAGCTATGCATGCATTAGAAAATGTATATGTGTGCTCAGTACTATCTAAAGTTCCAGATGTCCATGTAACGTCTCCCCTGTAGATAAGAGAGGAAGGCTACTGTATATTACTTTATGTTGATTGTGATCAAGATAGACTCTGACTTTCCTTCAGCAATGAGCATCCTCTCCTTCCTCTTCTGTCATGGCATCTGAATGAGGAAGGAGTCTTATGTTAGAGCATCAAGTAGCAACTTGTAGAAGAGAAAGCACATGCTATAGACTACACAGCCCTGGACTCTTACTTCAGGATCTATACATTTCTTAATCTTTCCAAGCTGATTTTCTGAAAGGAAACAAATACTTCATCAGTTGTTGTGAGAAACAGCTCTTTTTTTTTTTTTTTTTTTTTCGGTCTTTTTGAGACAGGGTCTCCCTGTAGCCCCAGCTGTCCTGGAACTCACTATGTAGACCAGGCTGGCCATGAACTCACAGAGATCCACTTGCCTCTGCCTCCCAAGTGCTGGGATTAAAGGCGTGTGCCATCACGCCCAGCTGAAAAACAGCTCTTTTACACAGGGGTGTAAGCCTGTCTACTGGCTTTTATGAGATTCTGTAGAACCTGCAGACTGGAGTCACTGCCCATAGAGATGTTCCTGAATGCCTTTGAAGTGACCTTGGCCCATGTGTACAAATGAGGCACACCTTTTTGACAGTGACTCTGTTTCACTAGCTGCTGATTCCTTTTTTCTTTTTTTAAGGAATTATGGTGGACACTGTGCTATATAGTATTGCCTGGTAGATGTTGGTAGAGGAAGCTTGTGCTCCCTGATCTCTGAGTCCTCTTCAGCCTCTGAGTACTCCTTGGTTGCCAAATGTTCCTCTGTGTCTGAGTGCTTCCATTATCTGATGCCTCCCAACTCTTAGTGGCTCCCTGGTATTCTGTCTCCTGTTGCTAAGAGAGAACTGCTTGTACTTCAGGGTCAGCTCGAGGTGCCTGATTTGTCAAAGGGAAACAGAGCAGTTCCTACCTTAGTATCTAGCACAGAACTTTGGGGAGGGAGGGAGGAGTTGATGTAGGAGCGGAAAAAAGGAAGAATGACTGTGTCATCTTCTCTGTTGACAGCCATTTATCACACCTGTGAGGCCTCCAACTTCCAGTGCCGCAATGGGCACTGCATACCCCAGCGGTGGGCCTGTGATGGTGATGCAGATTGCCAGGATGGTTCTGATGAGGATCCAGTCACCTGTGGTAAATGCAAATGCCCCGCCCCCACCAGGCCCTTCCCCTGGGTTTGCCATTCAGGGAGGGGTAGCAGATAGGCCAGGAGCTAAAATCCTGTTCTCCTATACCTTCTGTTTGTCCTGACTCATGGAGTATACTGGCGATTCTTCTCAGGCCATCTAACACACCCATATACATGCACGTGCATGCACACACACACACACACACACACGAATTTGCATAGGTGTAGTTACTGTGTACATGTCATTATATCTGTCATTATACAGTCTTCTTTCATGTTACAAGATTTAAAATAGTGTCTTTCCATATACATGTATTTCCTGTAGTAAGCATTTGTATCAAGAAGCATAGTCACTTTGTATGAGTTGTGTTTTTTTTGTTTTTTGTTTTTGTCTTTTATCCCTGTAGCCCCAACTGGCCTAGAACTCACTATGTAGACCAGACTGGCCTCGATCTCACAGAGGTCCACCTACCACCACCTCCTGAATGCTCAGAACACATCCCTGTTGTTAGCATAGCATCTCTGTGTATTGAAGTGTACTCTGTGTTCTTGTCCTAGTGTATAAAAATAATATGCCGTGGGTGTTATTTTGTACCTTGATTTTTCACATAGCTGAGTATCTAGAATGAAAGTTTTCACAGAGCACTTCTTCAAATTCTTTATAGTAATCTTGTATTCCAGTATTCAGTCATTTATTGAACAGTCCTCTCCATGTAGTAAGCTTTTTGACCTATCACGAAGTGTTGTAATACTTGTGCTTACAGTAAGTTCAGGATGTAATTTTGTTCATTTGTTATATTTTTAATATTTTCTTTATTACTTTTATGTACACAAGTGTATTGCCTACATATATGTAAGGGCACCTGTGTCATACAATACCCATGGAGATCAGAAGAAGGCATCGGATCCTCTCCATGGCTGTTAGCCACTATGTGGGTGCTGGGAACCAAACCTGAGTCCTCTGCAGGAGCAGCCAGTGCTCCTAACTGCTGAGCCATCTCTCCAGCCCATCTTCGGATCTTTTTAGTTCTCACTTCTGATTCATCAGTTTCTGGTGATGGGGAAAACTCCTTGTTTTCTCCCTATATATATACACACACACACACACATTTGTAACTTTGCTAGCTATTGATAAATTGCCTCAGAGGTGTTACAGATTTGCACCCTGCCGACGTGTGTGAGAACCTGCCTGTTTTTTCCTTTGTCATTCTTTGATTGAATTGAATTTCAGAGAAAAAGTGCAATGGATTCCACTGCCCAAATGGCACTTGCATCCCATCCAGCAAGCATTGTGATGGTTTACATGACTGCTCAGACGGCTCAGACGAACAGCACTGTGGTGAGTCCATTTCCTGTGCTGGTAGTCATTTATTCACTTACTGAGGGGTAGGATTCAACCAGTTAGTTCCTGACTGTTTGACCTAGAGGCTGATTAGGCAAGAAGGAAAGGTGTGAGTAGACAGAACAGGAAGGGGAGCAGGGAGAGGAGCGGGGTGAATGCAGGGTTAGCTCATACTTAGTCACGTGTTACCATTTGGTTGCCATGTATACTATCCACCTACCAATTGTTTTCAATTGGACACTCTGTCCCTGCTTGACTGGTTTTATTAATGTTGCTGATTATCACTTGGGGAATATTTTAGGCCAAATGACCCTTTTCATTCCATTTTCTTTAAAATATTTTATTTACTATTTTTATTTTATGTCTATGAGTGTATTACTTGCATGTGTGTAAGTGCACCTGTGTTGTGCAATGCCCATGGAGGCCAGAAGAGGGTGTCAGATCCCCTGGAACTGGAGTTATGAATGGTTGTTAGCTGCCATGTGGGTGTTGGTAATCAACCCCTGATCCTCTGCAAGAGCAGCCAATGCTCTTAACCACTGAGCCGTCTCTCCTGTTCCAATTTCCATTCTATTTTCAATCCTGAAATAATTGTCTCAGTCAATGGTGCACATCTGTGGAGAGCATTGGAAATATCTGGTGAATTTTAAAAGCCCCAGTGTCTGGGCAACACCCCACCCCCAGACATTCTGAGTTATTTAGTCTAGAATGTGGCTTGGATGTTGAGATTTTTCTTTTTTACTGTAGGCCAAGTGATTCTCATGTATAGTCTAGGTGGACAGAGCATGTGTTAGTGCAGGTGTGGCAACCTGGCCTTTAGGCAAAATTGTCCCTGTATTTCAAGAGCAAATGTATTAGGATAGATGTGGCAGACTGGCCTGTGGCTCAATTCCCATCCTGTCACCAGTTATTCTGAATGAAGTTGCATTGGATATAGCCAGTGTTTGCTTCCATGTTCCATGCGGCTGTACTCATACTATCATGGTGAAACTGAGTATTGTAAAAGACTGTATGTTGGGTGTCTACAGAACAAAGCCTAACAGCTTTTCTCTCATGTTCTCAGAGACTAACACCTTAGAATAGACATAGTTGTGAGCATGTATGCACAACATACACAGATTGGAGAGAGAGATGTTTATTATCAGGAACTGGCTCATGATTGTAAAGTCTGGCAAAACCAGTTGTAAGTCACATCCAGATTCTGCTTTCTTGCTATGGGCTCACATGAGCTCTTTTCTCTGCATGTCTGTTTTCACAGGAACACCTACCCTCTTCTGTCTTCTTTTAACCAAAAAACCTTTTTGACCTTAGTAACTTTCTAAAGGTCCTGTCTCTAAATACAGTGACATTGGGCTTAGGACTTCTAACATAGGAACTGGAGGCGGGTGCACTTGGCCTGAAACACTGTTTTCTTATAGAAAAAGATTGCCAGCCACCTCCATGTTGGGGAGTCAGCATCATATGAATCATGACTAAGATCGTGGGCCTTGATGCCAGGCAGCTCTAGATTGCAGTTTGTACTTCTCCCTTGGCAGCTTTGTGCTCTTGGCAGAATACTTGAGGCTGCCTCCCTTGTTCTCGGTTCATAAGTGACAATAAAATCTCTTGTAATGTTGTCTTGGGGTGTTTTAAGGTGCATTTCATGTCAACTACTTTAGCTCAGGGCTTGGCACAAAGCAGGTGATTCATCCACAGTGGCTGTTGCTATTGCTCCGGATGGCATGCCTGTCTGTGTGTATTTGTTCAGGGCTGCAGAGGGCCCCTGCCAGCCTTGGGCAATCATGACTCTGCCTCACCGGTTCCCTTTCAGAGCCCTTCTGCACACGCTTTATGGACTTTGTGTGTAAGAACCGCCAGCAATGTCTGTTCCACTCCATGGTGTGTGATGGGATTGTCCAGTGCCGAGATGGCTCAGATGAGGATGCTGCCTTCGCGGGATGCTGTGAGTGGATGGTGGGGAGGTCACATGGTCATAGTTTGACTACACTTGGGATGCACCTAAAAGTAGGGTGTAGGTCATGACAGAGTGCCCAAGCCTGCCTTTTTTGCATTCCCTTTCTCATGTAAGGAGTGCTGCTTTTTATCTATAACCGTGTACGCCTGTGAGCAGAGTCTGGTGAGTGACCAGGATCTTGCTCAAGTGTCACCTTATAGGAGAGGCCACCTGCCATTGGTATTGAATAGCTGATCTCTCCGTAGCACTTCCTTGCTCCAGTGCCCATCACAGCACCTATCCCCACTTTGTACACAGTGTTTATTTACAGTCTACCTCTGCTGCTACAATATGAGTGTCACGTGAGCAGCTTCTCTGTCCTGTTCATTGCCATAGCTCTGTTCTTCATACAGTGCCATGCATGTCTCTAGGTACATCAGTTACTTTTATGTCACTGTGACCAAATAGCTGATACAACTTAAGGAGGAAGGATTTTTTGGGGTTCATGGTTTCATGGGGTTCAGTCCATGGTCACTTGGCTTCATGCACTTGGACAGAATGTGAGAATGTGGTAGAGGTTGGGAGTGTGTGGTAGGGAAGAGCTGCTTATTTCCTAGCAGACAGGAAGCAGAAAGAAGAGGACACTGAGGGCCAGAGTAACCTTTAAAGGCTCAGCCCCAGTGACCTACTTCTGCAGGTTAGGCCTCACTTTCTAGTTTCCATAGCCTCCCAAAAGAGTGTCACTAAGTAGGGGCCAAGTGTAAAACATAATACTAGGCATTTTTATGTTTATTGAGCTACCATAGCAAAATGCTGTAGACTGACTGGGTAGCTCAGTCAATAGCAATTCTTTTGTCTGTACTTCTGGAGACTTGAAGTCTGCTACTGAGGTGTTGGCACCTCTGTCTAAGGCCTTTCTTTACCCAGTACATGCCGTCTTTACCCTGTGTCTTCACATGTTCTTTCTCCTCTACCTGTCTCTGCCTAAATTTCCTTTTTTGTTTAGTTTAAAGAAACAGGATCCTGCTGTGTTGCCCAGCCTGACACTGAACCCTTGGGCTTAAATGATGCCCCTTCCTCAGCCCGCTGAATAGTGGCAAGCTTCTTCCTTTCATGAGGATACCAGTCATACTAGATTAGGGTCCGTGCTGATGACCCTGTTTTGATTTTAATTACCTCATTTAAAACATTGTCTCCAAAACAGTATTAGAATTTAGGACTTCACCCTGTAATCTGGAGAGATTAACTCACACATAACAGTACTCAATGGAGGTTTGTGGAATAGATTAGTTAACACAATGTATGCTGTTAAGACCGGATCTGGCTTTGGATTTTCAGCGCTTCTGTTAGCTACCTAGTCTCTTGGTAGAAGTAGAGGAGTTTTGCTCCTCTCTCTTGTTTCTGAACAAGGCTGTCACTCTGTTGTGAACTCTCCTGCATGGAAAGAGCTAGGCTTAACCACTGTTGTTCCCTGTGCAGCTCAAGACCCTGAGTTCCACAAGGAGTGTGATGCGTTTGGCTTCCGGTGTCAGAATGGAGTGTGCATCAGTTTGATTTGGAAATGCGACGGGATGGATGATTGTGGTGATTACTCTGATGAAGCCAACTGTGGTAAGAAGGCAGTGGACCTGCCCCCCATGCCCTGCATTCCAGTCCCAGTGACTCCCAGCTAGGGAGCGGAGGCTTGCTGGCTCCTCCCTTGCCTTTTCCTTCCTCAGCAGCGGGTGCTGTCAGTACTTGAATCCAATACCTTCAGAGAAATGCCACACGGTTTTGGGTTGAATCAAGAGTCCTTTATTAGCCGGCAGTTAAGAGGGGGCTAATGCCCAAAAGAATTCTTGACCCCAGGGGGAAGCACAGTGGGGTTTATAAAGCCTAAAACCACAATTGCATCATGCCAGGGGCAAAGCCGATAACCATAGTTATATTAGATCATCATAGTTACGCCAAATGAGGGACAGGTAACAAAGAGGTTTTCAGTTAATGAAAAGTTTTAGTTAGGAAAATCAAGTTTCTCAGAATTGCAGAGATAGTGGGCCTTGTGGACATGCAGGTAGACCTAGATAGGAGGGTGTACTATCTGAACGTGCTGCCTGGCTGTTTGTAAGTTTCCCAGTATTGTAGAAACAGTATGCCCTTTGAAGCTACAGATTCAACCACCATGGGGTGTTCTGGCTGACTGGCTGCAGTGGGAGCGGCTGGACAGAAATACAGGATAAAGCAAAAGTCAGCTATGACAAAATGGAGTCGGGTTTGCCATTTCACCCATGTGAAGGCTGGAGTGAAGTGGGGAGTTGGCACCTCATGGGTGTTAGGGAAATGTTTATTCCACCTCTCCTCCTTTCCCCAGTTGGGAGGACCACATTATGTATAAGGAATTTCGTGGAGAAGAAATCATGATGCACTAGTTCCTTTTCTTGTGGAAAATAGGTGACAAAAGCAACTTGAGGAAGGAAGGGCTATTTGGGCTCACAGCTTGAAGGAGGCCAGTCCGCCATGGCAGGGAAGGCGTGGCAGCGGGAGCCTGAGGCAGCTGGTCACCTGCACCCACGGTCAGGAAGCAGAGAGAGAGACTCATGCTAACGCTTACTTGCGTTGTCCTTTTTACTCAGTTGTGACCCCAGCTCATGAGATGATGCCACCTCCGTTCAGGGTGGGTCTTCCCTGCTCTGTTAGACCTTTTTGGAAACACCTTTAGAGAGACACTCAGATACGTGTTTCCGTGGTGATTCCAAATCCCATCCAGTTGACGGTGAAGATTAACCATCAGGATGGTAAGTGCTGTGGAGTGCGTGTCCTCTGGAAGTCACAGACCACAGCATCATCCTCAGGCTATCATCAGTACTTAAATTATTCCTGTGGTAAAATGCCATAATTAAACTAAATGTCATAATTAAATTAAATGGTCAGATAACCATTCATAGAGAACCAAAATATAGGTCAGGAAAGCATGAGTTAGGGATTGGGAAGATAGGGTGCTGTTGAGTTTGTGGGCGTTGTCACTCCTTGGGTCCATGAGACTGCCGTATCTTCCCTGGAAGAGAAGTACAGGTGGCCCTGGACTTGTCCTCAGGGAGGTGGACATCAGTGAAGCAGGATATTCACACTGCTGAAGGGGAAATGACTGATGGTGTGTTTGAATTTTGCAGAAAACCCCACAGAAATCCCAAACTGCTCCCGCTACTTCCAGTTCCGGTGTGAGAATGGTCACTGCATCCCCAACAGGTGGAAGTGTGACAGAGAGAACGACTGTGGGGACTGGTCTGATGAGAGGGACTGTGGAGGTGAGAGGCTGCAGTGTGGGGGGTTGGGGGCTGGGTCAGCCCCACAGCCCAGACACCAGGACAGCTCCACCTGTCTGCAGACTCCCTGTCTCTGGAGTGCTTGGTTTATTCCTTACTTTGGCTTTTAGAGGGAAGAGTGATATGCCTTCTTGTGTCCTCCTGCTTTATTTATTTATTTTTGTATGTATGTACCAGTGTTGTAGAAGCCAGAGGTAAACCTCTGGTGTCATTCTTCAGGTTTTGTCTACCTTGTTTTTTGAGAGAGTCTCTTCCTGAGATCTGGGGCTTGCCCATTAGCTGGGCTGGCTGGCCTATAAGCCCCAGGAATCTTCCACTTTCCACCTCCCCAGCACTGGGATTACAAGGGTATACTATCATGTTTGGCTTTTTATGTGGATTCTGAGGATCTAACTCAGGTCCTCATACTTGTTCAGCAAGTGCTTTATGGACCTAGCTATCTCCTCAGCCCCTGTATCCCTAAATTCCCATTTTACAGTCAGTCTGATTGGTTTCTATGTTTCCAATGTACCTGTTGTTGAATATGCTGGGCTTAGAGTGAGAATCCTAGAACCTTACCTCTTAAAGTGTAATCTGCAGACTCACACATGTGTCTGCTTGAAGCATCTTAGACATGCAGAGTCTCTGACCCCACACCTACAGAATGAGCATGTGCAGTTTCACAAGGTCTGTAGGTTCTGCGTGTGGCGTGTGCTGCGATACCGTGAGGGGGCCCTGATGTGGGAATGCATGCTTTCTGTTGCAAACCTTGTGTCCTGGGTCATTGTGGTATGTTAGCTAGAGCATGCTTCACTTGGGGGGAATTCTCCCAGCCACCTTGTGCTTCTTAATCGTCTGTTCCCCGATTCTTCCATCAGCCTTCAGGAGCCCCCACAAAAGCAAACTCCTGTGAATATTAGCTCCAAGCATTGTAGTGCATTAAACCCACTAAATGGAAGGGAGCAAATGCTGTCTCTTTGGCCATCTCTTCTTAAATGATGTTTAAGTGGACCACTGTCCAGGGCTGTGCCTGACACTGGCCTCCTTTGGCTGGTGCAGCTAAAACTGGGATATTTGAATAGGTTTGGGACACATTCGGATCTGAGGTCAAGCTTCTAGTAATGCTTTGGGTTTCCTTGCTTGTTTTTTCCTCAGATTCACATGTTCTTCCTTCCCCCACTGCCGGCCCCTCCACATGCCTGCCCAATTACTTCCGCTGCAGCAGTGGGGCCTGTATAATGGACACCTGGGTGTGTGACGGCTACCGGGACTGTGCAGATGGCTCTGATGAGGAAGCCTGCCCCTCTTTTGGTGAGTAATGGCCCTAGTTTGCTCCAGTGGCATCTGGTGTTGTGGGAGGGACATTTTGAGGCATGCCTCAGACACAGGCTGGCGGCCCATGGTGGTTCTCACAAGCTGTGCCCTACAGGACAGGGAGTCTCATGGTCCCCAGATCCCGTTGGAACTCAAGTGAAGCATCTGTCTCTGAACTGCCCTCTGTGCTTCCTTCTCTTCCTTCCACCCCTGCCTCTCAGTGAGGACCTACAGTTGGGATGATTGGGGGAGGAGTGTGTGTGTGTGTGTGTGTGTGTGTGTGTGTGAACTCTCAGTGGACAGGGTTCACTTTTCCTGCTTGCTGCCTGTCAGGCCTGTTCCTCTGAAGGAAAGGGGGCACTGCCATCTAGTGGCCAAACACAGAGGCAGCTGAAAGACTGCAGCCACTAAGAATTGCTGGAGACCAAGGTCCTCTCTGAGACTGTATTGCTGCCCACCTTCCCTGCATGCAGACCGAGGGTAAGGCTGCCGTGTCCTTTGAAACTGGAGGCAGTTTCAAGCTCACTTCTCAGAGGAGAATCAGTACTCGTTTGCTGTCTTTGGAATAGTGCACTTCTAGGTCTGCAGCGTGATTTTCCTCCCTCACAGCCATCCCACTGCTTTAATGTTTAAAGCCCCCCAGTGGATGGGTGTGGTGGCACATGCTCTTAACCCTGGCACTTGGGGAGGCAGAGGCAGGTGAGTCTCTATGAGACTGAAACCAGCCTTATCTACATAGTGAGTTCCAGGTCAACTGAGGCTAAAAGGAGACTGTCTCAAAACAACAGACAAACAAACAAAAACTCACCAGTGACTTCCTTCAATCCAGAAAATTAAGGATTTTCAGGGGGGTTGCATCTATGATTATTAAACTAATGTGCTAACCATTGGAGAATTCAATTTAACTGGCAGGTGTTCATTCTTTTTCTTCCCAATTTTGTTTATTAATTGGTAGTAAACATTCATTGTACAAAGTAGAGATATTCATTATGACATCTTCATACATGTATATCATGTGCTTTAATTACAGCCACACAGACACCCTGTCCCTTTCCCTACCACCTCAGTAGTTTTCTAGAATATCAGTTCTTTTTCTTTTTAACCTGCCTCTGTGTGTGTGTGTGTGTGTGTGTGTGTGTGTGTGTGCACGCGCGCATGCGCTCGCGCGAATGTTCACATGTGGGGATGCACATGTGCAGTGTTGTACATGTGAAGGTCAGAGGACAAGCTTGGTGTCAGTCCTCACCATCCACCTCATTGGAGACAGAATCTCCTGTCTGTGACTCTGGACATTCTGCACCTCTCATCTCCCAGGAGGCCTTGGCTTGGAGCTCCTCATGCTGTGAGGCAAGCACTTTACATTGAGCTGTCTTCCCAGCCCAGGAGATCAATTCCCAACACGTATCCCCTTCCCTGTCCCTTCCTTTTTCCTCTTCCTCCTTTCCCCTTCCTTCTGCCTCCATTCCCTCCTCTCTCCATTGTACTTTGGAGACAGGATCTCATATAGACCAGGCTATTTCAAACTTGCATGTAGCTTAGGCTGACCTTGAGCTTACTGAGATCTGCCTGCCTCTGTCTCTTGGGTGCTGACATTAAATGCATTTTTAAATTTCTGGATACTTGCCAGTCTTCTACTTGATGACTGTGTCTTGAACTTTCCTGATCATATAGGTTCTTTTCTGTCCTATGTAGTAGAAATTCATGACTTTTTAAGAAATTCATCTATTTTAGTTTGGGAATTTTTCTTAGAATATTTGTTAATAATATCCAGCTCCATTTTCTTTTCCTTTTTTTTTTTTTTTAACTCTAGTTGCTGTGATCCTCCTGCCTGTTGTTGTTTCAGACAGGATCTCACTATGTGACCCTGAAATTTGCTGTGGATACCAGACTGACCTCAAATTTATGGTGATCTTCCTGCCTATTTCCTCTGTTTCTGGGATTACAGACATGAGCCACCACAACTGGCACTGATCTCTTACTTTAAAAAAGATCAAGCTGGGCGTGGTGGTAATCCCAGCAGGCAGAGGCAGGCCAGTCTCTGAGTTCAAGGCCAGTCTGGTCTACATAGTGAGTTCCAGGCCAGCTGGGGCTACAGGGAGACCCTGTCTGAAAAAAAAAAAAAAAATCTTTCCTGTACTTAAAAGATTTATCTTTTCTTATTATTTTCTGAGATATTTCCTTAAGTTTCTGTAAAAATTTCTGTTTTACTGGTTTCAACTGTTTTTCACTTTTAGTATTTTAGCTGTTTTTTCATGGAATTCATATACACACACACACACACATTTTTCCTTTGTGAGCATACTAAGGACCTTTATTTTTGCTTATTTTATTTCTTATTATTTTTTATTTTATCTGTATGAGTATATTGCCTGCATGTGTATTGCAGTGCCTACAGAGGTGAGAAGAGGGTGTTGGATCCCCTGGAATTAGAGATGGTTGTTAGCTGCCACGTGGGTACTGGGAACCAAACCTGGGTCCTCTGCAAGAGTAGCTGGCGTTCTTAAGTGCTCTCTCCAGCCTATTTTTTATTTTTTCAATTTATTTTTATTTTATGTATATGAGTGTTATGCCTGCGTGTATGTAAGTGCACCATGTATGTTCAGTGACTGCGGGGGCCAGACGACAGTGTTGGATTCCCTGGAACTGGTTGCTAGTCACCATGAGAGCGTGAGAAACTGAACCCTGGTCCTCTGCAAGAGCAGCCAGTGCTTTTAACCACTGAGCCATCTCTCTAGCTGCAGGATATTTGTTTTTCTAAGCTTACTTCTTTCTGTGTGTTTGTACGTGTGGGCGGTGTTGGTATAGATGTATGTATGTGTCTGTGCACACTCATGTGGAGGCTGGAACAGGACACTGACAGTGGGTGTCTTCCTCTATTGCTGTTTAAGTTATTGCATTGAAACTGAGGCTCTCACTGAACGTGCCTGGCTTTTATGGGCGCTGGGCATTCAAATTCAGTTTCCCTGATTACCAAGCAAGCACTCTTACCCACTGAGCCACCTCTTTAGCCTCCAAGTTTTCGTCTCGCAAACTCTCTATTTCCTCCAAGTGACCTTTTTTTAGAGCTGGGCGTGGGGCTTCGTTTCGTTTTGGTTTTGTCTTTGGGGTTAAAAGTTTTTCTTAGATGTTTCTTCATTACTGCATGTGTCCCAGACTGGGAATGTTGCTACGAGGTTCCGAGCACATGGGTAGGTTTGCCAGCTTTGTGCTCCACGGATGGTCTGTTTGCTGAGGAACTCTGGGTCCTTGGTAAGGTTAATCCCTGAAGCTGTTCCTAGGTCTCCTGCCTAAACTGTAAGTGTTTCATTGCCAGGGGCCTCAAGAAGAGTTTCCTAACTTCTCATTTGCTGTCTGTAAGTTTAGTCCCTCTTTTATTGGCATTTTCTTGTTCTGTTATGCCTGCTTAAACAGCTCTTTTGTTTTTATTCTGTGAAAACCACAGCCAGCCAGGCTCCTACAGGGCAGCTGTGTGAGTCAGTTGTCTCCTGGGGCTGGTGCCAGAAGGAATAGTGGGAACAGGCCTGTTTCTGAAACATCTTCCAGTCAGCACCCTTGCCTTTGCTGTGTTCTCTCAGGTGAGAGGACCGGTTTCTTAGCATTTGGGGGATCGTGTGGGGGCTGAGCTGGCCGTCTCAGTGCTTTCTCCCTCCAATAACTTAGGGTAGGATGTAGCCTCCTCTGGTTCCCTAATCACTCCTCTCATTTGTCTGCTTTCCAGCTTGCCAAATTATGATCTTCCTTTTCTTCTTGTCCATGCCCCCATCTTTAAAGAGCATCTCTCAAGTAGGTCTGTAGTGGGACCCTGAGGAATGGCACATTCTTCCATCTCTGTCCGTAGTTGGCAGGTACCTGTAGGCTCCTACTGCAGTTCCTGCAACCCTGCATTCTCCTAGCACATTAAATGGTTGAACGGTTTATCTCTTACCAGCAAGCTCCCTCCATACCAAAACTAATTTTTTTTTTTTTTGGTCTTTTTGAGACAGGGTCTCTCTGTAGCCCCAGGCTCTCTTACCAGCAAGCTCCCTCCATACCAAAACTAATTTTTTTTTTTTGGTCTTTTTGAGACAGGGTCTCTCTGTAGCCCCAGATGTCCTGGAACTCACTTTGTAGACCAGGCTGGCCTTGAACTCACAGAGATCTGCCTGCCTCTGCCTCCCGAGTGCTGGGATTAAAGGTGTGTGCCACCACGCCCGGCTATCAAAAGTAATTTTAAAAATCATTTTCCAGCAAACACCACTGCTGCCTCCACCCCTACCCAGCTTGGGCGTTGTGACCGGTTTGAGTTCGAGTGCCACCAACCCAAGAAGTGTATCCCCAACTGGAAGCGCTGTGATGGCCATCAGGATTGCCAGGATGGCCAGGATGAGGCCAATTGCCGTGAGTACCCCCCAGGGCCATGCCCCCAGAGCACAGAGTCCCATTCCACTGCGTCATCTCTGGGCAACAGATGCTCATGTGCCTTTGTGTAACCATGTTCTGTATTCTCTGTAAGGGCTTTGCTGTGTGGACATGCATCATGGTATATGATAGTGACACTGGCTTTAATAAATTGGGTAGATGTTAAATACCAGGAGCATGCCCAGTGAAAATATTTTCTGAATGAATGAGAAAACTATTTTAAATGAGTTTTTTGCTAAGCATGCTTAATTCCTAAAAGCACCTATTGATAAAGCCATGGGCTTCTGGAAGTATTCAGTGAGCATCTGTGAGGATGAGGCATATGGAACATCTTATTGGGGGACTAGAGAACTGGTTTGGTACTAGAGAGTTAGTTCAGTGGTTAAGAGCACTGACTGCTTTTGCTGAGGACCCAGGTTCAGTTTCCAGCACCCACAGGGCAACTAACAACCTTCCGTAACTCCAGTTCAGGGGGATTTGTCACCCTCTTTGGCCTCTTCAGGCACTACATGTACATGATGCACTTACATACATGTGGGCAAAGTACTCTCATACATGTAAAATAAAAATAAATAAATAAAATTTGAATGAGTATATTATTGGGTAGAGCACCTCCAGCACTGTAGTAAGAAACTTGGGCTTTGCTTCTTGAGTTACTATACTTGGTGAGAGGCAGTGAGTCATTCAGGGAACGTGAGGTCTGAGTGAGCTGACACACCTGTACTATGAATATGTTCTGAGTTGGCAGGTGTCCAGGGCCCTGTACCCCTGATGTACCCAGGGAGGCTCCTTGGAGTAGGTGACACTGGCTGTCATGCTAACTAATGGAGTACAGAGATCCCGAGGTCATGGGATTAATCCTTGGCACCCAGTCAGCACCTTTGGTCACTGCTACATACAGAAACCACCTCTGGCCTGAGGGAAGGGAAGGTGGGCTAGAATGCTGCCACTCTTTTGTCATCTGTCTGTCTCTCTGTGGTGGACACTGCTCCTACTTGGGGGTCTCTGTTTTGTAGGGATCTCTGTCATCAGTCACCTACTCTCTGCAGAGGCAGATGGCCTAGCCAGTCACATGCCTTTTAGTGCCGGGGAAGAATGTCTTTCATACCTGTCCAAGTGTGTGAAGTGAACACCTTCAACCCCAAGCCTCAGCGCACACCTCCGTGCTCCTCATTGATCACTCTTGTGCTCCCATTTTTATCTCTTAAGATAAAGATTGCTTAAAATAAGAAAAAAGAAATTTTAAAAAGAGGAAGAACCCTACCAAATCTTGCCAGTGCCTCCTGGAATCAGGTCAAAGGCAGAGGTTACTTGATTACTTCATTTCTCTAATTCAACACTTAAGAAATTTATGTGACCTAGAAGGGTCACATGGGAAGTGCTTCTAAAAAATAGGCAGTTAGGCTGGGGTTGTAGCTCACAAAGCCCTGGGTTCAGTCCTTAGGATTGTATAAACCCAGCTTAGTGGCATAGATCTATAATCCTAGCACTTAGGAAGTAGAGGCAAGATGATCCAAAGTTCAAGTTCATCCTAGGTTATATAGTTATTTTGAGGCCAACCTGGTATATATGAGACCCTGTCTTGAGAAAAATCAAATCAAAATAAAACAAGACCCAAAAACTATAAATGTGTTGATTTTACCTGACACCACCAAACCAGAAATACAGAGGAATGTTCTAGGCCGTACAGTCTTACAAAAGTGACCTCTGTCTGTCTTAGCATCAGAGAAATTTGGCAATCACTGCTCTGTCCTGGATATTTGACATATTCTAATAACATTGTCAGTTGGGTTGGTCAAATATCTGTTAACCACACATGATGTGGCTGGCATTGACCAGGTTGCTGGGGATATGGATTCTAGAGGCAGCAACAAGAGCGAGTCTGTTATGGTGAGGGCTCAGCAGTAATAGAAGATTCTTCAAGGCACTGACACAGTTCAGGGTGGATATGGCTGCCTTCCAAGACAGGTGGGAGCTGATCAGACACCCAGCCGAGGGCATCAGAGGTGGGTTTTTGTTTGTTTTGAGAGATGGTCCTGCTATAATCAGGCTGTCATTACCCTGCCTGACTCTGGGTGGGTTTTAATGGCTATATATTTAATGGCTATATTAATGGCTATATTACCAATATCCACTGTTCAAAGTAGAAGATGATTGGGCTTTCTGGCACTAGGGATAAACATGTATGCCCAGAGCCTCACAGGTACAGGAAAACATATCTGCAGAGGATCATGGGTGGGGCAAAAGATAGGTGCAGAAAGATAGGCAAGAGACTTCAGTAGAGTGTCTGTGTTGCAGTTATTTATCCTCTTGGCTATAGGAAGCCACGGAAGATTTTTGGACTGGATGCTTCTAGGTTGGATCTCTTAGACTTTATCATTGGGGGAATGATTAGAAAAGAGGAAGGGGAGCTTGCTGACTTAGGAGAGAAAACTTGTCTTGACCTAGTACTTACCTTGAAATATGGAACTTACTTACAAAATGTGTGGATTTTTCTCCCAATATACTTTTTTTGTAGTGGTCACAAGACCCATCACTCATGTTTCTTTTATTCACCACAAATGTTGTGTTTATTTGTTGGCTCTTGGAAAGATTTTGTCCAAAAGTCAGGGTCTGTTTTCAGAGTCTATCCTTTGACTTTGTACTTGCTTGGTTTGCAGGCTGGAATGATTTTGTTTGCATGTGTTGTAGACTAGGGAATTTGTCAGAGCTTCTGTCACTAACCTGCACTCAGCCTCTCGGAAGTGAGGTGATCTGGATGAATCCCTCATGGCCTATGAACTTGCTCTTCTAGACTGGAGCGCAGAGGCGTGGATCCTGCTGTCTTGGGTGGTTGGTCATTGCTGCGCCTGTCGCCTTCGTGCACTTTTTGACTGTTATGCTTTTCTCTTCTGTTTATTGTATGTGGTCATCTTCAAGCTGCTTCTGCTCTTTATCTGCAGCTGTCACACTTCCTGATGCCTTCTGTCCCATCAGAATGCCTTCAACAACTAGCTGACTACATGGAGGGAGTGCATGTCACACCTGTGGGTGACACAAAGCCAGCAAGGTAGTTGACTTTCTAAGGAAATAATGAGGACTTAGAAAGGGAAGTTAGGGCTGGGCTTTGGCCTAGCTGGTAAAGTGCTTTCATACAAATATGTGGCCCCAAATTTGATTCCCAGAACCAGGTGTGGTGGTCGGTGCTTAGAATCCCAGCACTGGGGAATCAAAAACAGGAGGCTCTTGGGCACTTGCTGGCCGGGCAGTTTAGTCTAACTGGTGATCTCCAGGCCCATGAAAAACCCTATCTCAAAGGAGACATGGGCCTGACCTCTATGCACGCACTCATCCATGTGCACATGTGTACACCTCCATATGAACATGCACACACACTCATACAAAAGAAGGGAAATTAACATTTTGTGATTAATTTTAATGTGTCATTTGTTATTTTCAAGTCATATAGTTCTAAAACTTCAATCTCCAGATTTTCTTGTGATTTTGGTATTGCCCCATTTTACTGATAGGAACCTAAAGGCTCCAAGGGGACTACCTGGCCAGTAGCACTGGGTTAGCTGCTTAGGTAGAAAGTTGTGGCCTTGGCATCATGTCACATTGAAAGTTACCTGGGGAGAATACACCAAACCTCATACAGAAATTAAATACAGGTTAGTGTAAAAGCCTACGCTTATATTGAAAGAATGAACAAAATGGACCCCTGAGACATTCTGATAATAGGGCCAATTGATCCCGCAGCTCACATTTGCCAAACCATGGTAGGAACAGCTTAGCTGAGTGAACAGCCACACCACCAGCTGAATGTTCAAAATAATTAACAGGAAAGAAAAGAAATAGAACCTCCCTCCTGAGTGATAGGAACTCACTAATTGGCATCCTTTAAATCAATGTTTTTAGCCTGTTTTAAATCTGTCTGACTCACAAGAGTGTTGCTTAGTTAAGAGTTTTAAAAATCAAGATGTGCTATTACCCATAATTCCTTTTGGCCCGTTATTGTGATCACTTTATCAAAGAGAAAATGTGCTTTCTAAAGTGATTCTTCTTCAAGCTGCTGGCCCACATAGCGTGCTAAGTGCCCATCAGTCATCTGTTTATTAATCAATTTAAGTATTAACAGCAGTCTTATTTCTGGGTTTTGAAACTTATGTTTTCTGATTCCTAAAGTTCTGAGACATGATTGATAAAGAAGCTTCCATTGTCCCATTTGTTGGTGTTTGTGATGTTTTCTCATCTTATTACCATTATTATTATTATTATTACCATTATTATAATTATCTCTGCTGGGGATCTGGTGTTTTTCCAGTCCCCCTTAGAGCAGCTCTGCCCTGCCCTGTATAAGGTGGTGTCACCCAGCCTGCCATTCAGCTCACACACATCACTCCCCAAAGTGGCCTATGTGTTTGCAGTTTCTCTCAGTGGAGGATAAGCTCTATGTGGGCAATGAAATGGTGAAAAAACTAACTCCATTTTGTTCTAGCTAACTTTGCCTTACCCTGTATTCTGCCTAGCCATTCCCACTGTAGCCAGCCAGGCAGAATGTCTCATGCAGACAGTTTCAGGGAGTACATTGTTTCTGCAATACTTGGAAACTTCTAAGTAGCCAGGTAGCACGTCCAGGTAGCACATCCTTCTACCCAGCATAACTGAAACTTACTGTTAACTTAAAACTGCTTTGTTGACTGACCTGCCCCTGGTCTGGTGTAACTATGGTGATCTGATGGACCTATGGTTATTGGCGTTGGCCCTGGCATGATGTAATTGTGGCTTTAAGCTTTATAAACCTTGCTCTGTTTCTTCTTGGGGTCGAGAGTTCCTTTGGCATTCACCCATCTAACTACTGGCTGTTAATAAAGGACTCCTAATTCGACCATCACTGTGTGGCATTCCTCTGTGCATCTTGTTTGGTATTACGGCAGGTATTTTGTCTGCAGTCATATGGCTTGTCCCTGTCATAGAGAACACAGCCTTCCTCATGGAGGGTTCTCTACCAGTGCTCATCTCCTGGGGGGGATGGAGTTCATCTTGTACCTCTGAGACTACTGAAGCAGCCAAGCCCCCTTTTAATACACTTATATGTCGCACAGTCCCCTACCTCCCAAGACAAACCAATTTCCCCTCAGCATATAAGAGATTTCTGTAATGCAATGTTTTTCCTGGAGAAGGGGGATTATAGTTGTAAAAATCCTCATAAGCCAAAGAGGTGGCTCAGTGAGCAAAGTGCTTGCTGCCTATGTGTGAGGACTATAGTTCAGAACTCCAGCACCCACATAAGAATTGGGCAAGTATGGCAGCCACCTGTAATTCCAGTGTTCTGAAGGTAGAGATAGGGGATCTGGAAGCAGGCTGGCTAGACAAGTTCAACTCTAGGTGAGCTCTAGGTTCAATTGAGAGGCCCTGCATTAATGAACAAGGTGCAGAATGATCAAAGAAGATAGTTAGTGCCAACTTAAGGCCTGTATACATGTACACACATGTCTGCCCAGACACATACATCTACATACATATAAACATGCATATACAATGTCTGTACAACACACATACATGCACACATAAAAAAATCTTCATAAAGGGTTTTAGTCATTCCTTTTTCTCTGTATCTTCATGAGTTCTGCATCTGTGCATTCAACTAACGGTGGAATGGAAGTATTTTTTTTTTAATTGCACCTGTAGTAAACATATAGAGACTTTTTTCTTGTCACTATTCTGTAAACAAAACAGTATGGCACCTATTAACATAGAAATGGAACTCCATTCCATAGTATGTCACCTATAAATGACTTAAAGAATCTGGGCAGGTGTGCATATGTTGTATGTGAATACTGTACTGTTCCACATAAGGGAGTTTGCTTTCCATAGCAATACTAGAACCAGCCAGTCCCCAGCAACTACTGAAGAAAAACCCAAGGGATTGTACTGTAGCAGCTCATTTTTATATGAAATGAGTAAGTCTGTACCTTTATTCTAGACCCTCATGCAAAAGGGTCTCAAGTCTTTCCCATGAAAATCCAATGGTTGGACACCTTTGTTACAGTATTTCTCACCCCCTCCCACTTCCTTCTTCCCTGGCCAGTGCTGTATGTTTTTCCTTCTAGAAAAATCTCCCTGGGCCCTTTTTTTCTTCCTCTTGAGCACTTCGACTGCTCATGGGAACAGCATCCGTTTACCTTCTGTATCTCACAGCTTGTGTGTTGTTAGTCAAGTTGATGTTCTGTGGAAGATAGGATCACCTGCCTGTAAAATTTTCTAAACCAGAGGTTCTCAATTCTGACTGCTTCTGAGGAGTTACCTGGAGCTTGAAAATTCTGCACATACCCTGCCACAGTAGGTTTGAAACAAGTCCAAGGAATCTTTTTCACAAGTTTTCTCATACTCTTACAATGATGGAGAAACATGATAGTGAATTCTGTGTTTGGATTACTCTAGCAGTTTAGTAGCAATCTCTTTGGTAATAATTTCTAGTTTTGAAATCCTATTATAGATCTTTGAGGGTATGATTAAATTTATTGAAACTATTACAGAACAAGGATGGTTGGTTTTTAAACCTAGGATTTATAGACATGATATTGTATAGTTATTATATGGAAAGTTATGTTTTTGTGCACAGGGTGGGGATCAAGATCTGGGAGGTGTTTAGCTGCTGAGCCCCAATGGAGAACTTCCTGCCTGGGCTGGGGATATAGCTCAGTTGGTAGAGTGCTAAAATCCTTGGGTTCCATATCTAGTACTTCATAAACTGGGGCATTGTACATGTCTATGGAGGATCAGAAGTTCATTGTCATCCTCAGCTACATACCCAGTTGGGGACAAGGCCAAGATACCCGAGATCCTGCCTCAGAAACCCTTTTCTGTTTGGCTCTAAAGCTCTTGTTCTTCCTGAAGGAAGATCTCAGTTGTTAATGTTAAATACAACCACACCACATGGCTGGTGTCATTCCAGTCTTCATTCCAGAGATGTAGTTTGGAGCAGAAATCAGTAGTTCAAAGAGGTCAGCCCAGGCGCAGACATTTCAAACAACTTGGCCTTTCCCCTCTGGGTTTAAGAAGGTTCTTTGTGTTTCAGCCACTCACAGCACCTTGACCTGTATGAGCAGGGAGTTCAAGTGTGAGGATGGTGAGGCCTGCATTGTGCTCTCAGAGCGCTGTGATGGCTTCCTGGACTGCTCAGATGAGAGCGACGAGAAGGCTTGCAGCGGTGAGTGCTGCTCCCCTCCACAGGTTTACCGTGGGGACTTACAGCTGGGACCCTTTTGAACTTTCCCTCCACCTGAAAATGAAACGGGTTTGTGCACGACCTGAGAGCGATAAGTGAGGTGAGACGAGGCCCGACTGCTGGAACTTGTAGCCAGCTGGTCCTGAAAGGCTTTAGTTTTTTTTCCCTTGCTCATGTCCCCACCATGATTATCATAGAGCCTTGGGTGGCTGGTGGGGTTAATTCAGTCCCTCTGTCTAAAATGCATGTCCTTGCCCTTCAAGTTCCAGCATTTTCTGTTGAGAATCAAGCTTAAGATACTTAGGCAGGCAGGAGGGAAAATGCATCAGAAAATATAAGAGAGCTTAGGAAAGGTATATGGTGGGGGAGGGGTTGCAGCTGCATTTTCTGGGATATCTTTTCAGATCATGATTGTGGCTTCCTGACAACTGAGGTCATTGTAGTTCTGCCTAAAAGCATTTGTAAGATACAACTTTCTTTGACTTCTCTCCCTTTGTTTCTGCAGATGAGTTAACTGTGTACAAAGTCCAGAATCTGCAGTGGACAGCTGACTTCTCTGGGGATGTAACTTTGACCTGGATGCGGCCCAAAAAAATGCCTTCTGCTTCGTGTGTATACAATGTCTACTATAGGTGGGTCTCAGTTTGGCCTCGGTTCTCATGGCCACCAGAGGTCCTATGAGTTCTCCTATGATGTGCGTGCTGTGGCTCTTCCTTTCCTGGCTCATATATCTCAGTCACCCTATGCTGCTTTTCTGTGACAACTTATTTCTTTTGGTCAGGGTGGTTGGAGAGAGCATATGGAAGACTCTGGAGACCCACAGCAATAAAACCAACACTGTACTAAAAGTCTTGAAACCAGATACCACGTATCAGGTTAAAGTCCAGGTTCAGTGTCTCAGCAAAGTGCATAACACCAATGATTTTCTGACCCTGAGGACTCCAGAAGGGTGTAAGTATTATAGTGGATGGATGGATGGATACTGGAGATCGAGCCCAGCCTTGCACATACCTGGGGGGACTCTACCACTGAGTTGTATCCCTAGTCCTCTCCTATTTTATTTTCATAACACCAATGATTTTCTGACCCTGAGGACTCCAGAAGGGTGTAAGTATTATAATGGATGGATGGATGGATACTGGAGATCGAGCCCAGCCTTGCACATACCTGGGGGGACTCTACCACTGAGTTGTATCCCCAGTCCTCTCCTATTTTATTTTGACACAGGGTCTCACTAAGTTACTCAGGCTGGCTTTAAACTTGCTCTGCAGCTAGGCCAGGTAGGCCTTGAGGTTAAATTTCTTATAACTACCTCCCAGGCAGTTGGAATTATAGGTGTGCACCATCACACTAGTTTATAATGATTTTTTGTAGTCTTTATGTTTTTTAATAGAGCTTTTTAAATTTCATACATTTCCCAATCAAATCCAGACGCCCTCCCCCATCCATGCCTCCCCCTGTCCTCCCACCGAACCCTATGCACACTGCCATACATGCTGAGTCCTATGCATTTAGCTCTTTGTACTCAAACGTCCTTCAGTGTAAATACGTCCACTGGAATCTAGTCAGCCCATCCAGTGGTTGTATGTAAGTCATACTCTCCCTCACCCAGCAGCAATCAGTCTCAAATAGTTTGCCACCTATTTCTCACCTCCCCTTTGGGCCCTTGTTTAATTGAGCTGACGTGGATCCTGCACTTGACACCACTGCTGCCACAGGCTCACATGAGCAGGCCTCTAGTGGCCTGGAAGCCTCCACCTCCCTGTGTTCATGAAGCAGCCCTGGCTCTTACAATCTTTTTGCCTCCTCTTCCGCAATGGTCCCTGAGCCATGAGTGAGTGAGGTTCTATATAGGAGTCCCCTCCTATACAGTGACTTATTCTCCAAAACTTGGCCAGTTGTGGCCTTATGTGTGCATCATACTCTGATGTACATGGAAGCCTTACTGGTGAGAGCTCAGGGGTCCATTAGCCCTCTCTCTGCCCCTTATTCTGCTGTGTTCTATAAGCCTTAGTTGTAGAGATTCGACTGCAGATGCAGCACCTAGTGCTAGTCCCAGGCGTGTGTTCTCTGTGCCTGACCAGATGAGCGACTCTGCAGTAGCCTCCGTCTGTTGCAAAAAGAAGCTTGCTTGATGAGTGCTGTCCAGCATGCTTGTCACTCTAAGGGAGGGCTCTACTATCTGGCACTGTGTTTCTTGCCAAGCAGCTCCCAGGTATACATATGCACTAATGTTCAGACACTCTGCATTTCTCACAGGATTTCTAGGGCATCACTTTTCCCTCTAGGTTTCCTGCCCCCTGAGATTCACTCATCTCCACTCTTTTTTCTCCCATCCGGCCTCTCTCCTCCTCCCCTCCCTAGTCACAGTCACATACCCCCATTATCCCCACCCTCCCCCAATACCTCCCAACTCCTGCCATCTTTCCTCTCCTGACTTCCCTCCCTCCCCGACCCCGTGGTCCCTTGCATGTCCCTCCCTCCTCTCCTCCCTGCCGATTACTCCCATTTTTTCCACCTCCCTCAGGTACCATCTGTTCCCTACTATCCCCCTTTCACGTTGTTTCTTGTCCTTTGCCTCCATGTATCCTTTCTCTTGCCCCCGCTCCTGGTGTTCTCCCTCATTTGTGGATTGTAGCACCAACCCCTTATATGTGAGTATATCTATTCTGATGTAACACCAGGAGCCAGGGAAAAGGAAAGGATACATGGAGGTATAATGTATTTTTAAATTAGAGAGAGAGAGAGAGAGAGAGAGAGAGAGAGAGAGAGAGAGAACGCTCACCACTAAAGTATCTCATTGTGCCCAGTGTGAGGGTGTGTGTGTGTGTGTAGATGTCAGAGGTCAATGTTGGGTCTCTCCCTTTTGCTCTTCACCTTATTTTTTGAGACAGGGTCTCTCACTGAATTTGGAGCTCATTGTTTAGGCTAAGCTGATTGGCTACAGACAGGAGCCACCATGCCTCGCTTTTTTGTGGGTACTGGGGATCCAAATTCAGGTCCTGATGCTTGTAGAACAAGCACTTTACCCACTGAGCCATTTCCAAGCTCCCAGTTTATAATCTTTATGGCCTATAACAGACAGATCTTACTTTTCCAAAGGATGCTGAAGACTGTAAGAATGAGCTTACCTATGCCTTCCTAGTATAGAAATATTGTGGCTAAAGCTTTCTGGTCCCATCTGAGTTGTTGAAGTTTCTCCTCCTTACGGAGGCAGAGAACGTTCTTGCCCCTTTAGAAGTTAATTTCAGATGTTCTTCATCATTGCCTTCTTTTCACTTCTTGTCTGGTTTCTGCCTCTATCTTCCATCTCTAGGTATTCCCTTATAATGTCATCATCATTTAAAGAGTACACGTCCTCATTTTATGGCCTGGTTTTAAAGGGCTTACCAAATTCACATATGTATCTGAGAGGACTTCCCACATTCCTCTCCCTTCAGAGTAGTTCGACACGGGTGACCGTCTTCTTATTCTAGTCATTTTTCCCACTGCCTGAAGCATTTTGAATATACTGTCACTGAACCCATTAAGGGGTCTGCTTCGAAGGTGATCGCGTTCATTTGGAGGTAGGATTTCTGTGATGCTGGGAAATGAGTCTTAGTCCTTGGGTGTCACACCCTTGGTCTCCTGTTTTGTGGTACGAGAGATGAGGCAGCAGGGTCTGTCACGGACAATTAAAAGCTCAGCATGGAAGTGCCAAGGTCGATGGCGACCCAGCCTGCCCAAGTGCTTCCGTCCTGCAGCCTGGGTGAGTCACACATTTACATCAGACTTCACTGAGTCATGATCTGATGTGTGGACAGACAACATACTTGATAGTCTAGCAAGAGGGGAGAGGGGAGGGTCTTGTCACCGTAGAGGCTGAGCTGCTGTGTTTTCAGTGAACAGGCCTTGTGCCAGCACTGCATCCTTTCTCATACTTGTTTCAAGCTCAGGAAATACCCCTAGTTCATCTATACAGATAGATTTTAACTTCTAGTTGACTCCTTTAATTTTTTTAATAGATATTTTTAATTTTGTGTAACACATAGTCATTTTACACATTCGTGTGGTACATGCTGATATTTTGATACATGTACACAATGTGTAATGATTAGATCTTGAAAATTCACATATCTGACACCTCTAGCCATTTCTAGTTCTTTGTGTTAGGACCATTCAGCCTCCTCTCTACAGCTGTTTTTAAATATTCGATGATTTTTATCAACCACAGTTAGCCTACTGTGCTGTTGAACATTAGGGTTTTTTCTTTCTGTCTGTCTGTCCCCATCCTCTCTCCTCTCCTTCACTCTCAGGCTCTGATAATTGCTTTTCTCTTTATTTCTATGAGATTAATTTTTTAGTTTCTGCAAAGAAGTGAAAGCCAGCACTATTTGTCTTTTGGTGCCTGACTTACTTTACTTAATATGATGCCCCCAGGTTCATCCATGTTACCAAAAATGACAGGGAACCATTCTTTTAGTGGTTGAATAATATTCCGCTCTCTATAGGTACCGCGTTTTCTTTATCCATTTGTCCACTGATGAGTACCTGTGCTGATTTCATGATTTGACTGTCATGACTATTGCTCCAGTAAATGTGGAGGTATAGGTATTTGTTCACTGGACTGATTTCTTTTTGTTTGGATGTGTACCCAGTAGTTGGATTGTGGGGTGATGGGATAGTTCTAATTCTGGTGTTTGAGAACCCTCGGTAGTGTATTAACTCATGTTTTCACCAACTGTGTAGGGGGTTTCTGCTGTCCCTTCATTCCTGCCAGTTTCCATCTGTCTTTTTTCTTTTTGATGATAGCCACTGGCCCTGGGGTGAGATGATATCTTACAGTTTTTTATTGGCATTTCCCTGAGGATTAATGATGCTAAGCATTTTTTTTTTCAGAAATGTTTGCCATTTGTATACTTTCTATTAGAACATGTCTTTTGAGATCATTTGACTGCTTAAAAATCAGATTATTTGTTCTTTTTTGTGGTTGTTTAAATTCCCGGTGTATAGCTCCTGGATATTGGTTCCTAGTCAGGTGACTGGTTCGTAAAGACATTCTCCTGTTCCGTAGGTTGTCTCTTCACTCTGTGACCATTTCCTTTGCTGTGTGGAAACTTTTTTAGTTTACTGTAGTTTCATTGGCCAGTTTTTGGCTTTGTTGTCTATGCTTTTAGGTTCATATTAAAAAGTAATCTTCCCCTAGACCAGTGTTCTGAAGCATTTCTCCCGTGTTTTTGTAAGTGGTTTTATAGTTTTGGAGTGTTACACCTTAAGATTTTTATTAATCTGTTTTGAGTTGGTTTTCATATGTGGTGCATGATTTATTCTTTTGCAAATGGGTATCCAGTTTTCTCAACACCATTTACTGAAGAGACTACCCTTTCTTCTGTGTATGTTCTTGTTGCCTTCATCAAAAATCAGTGGGCTGTAAATATATGGACTCATTTCTGATTTCTCTGTTCTGTTCCATTGGTCCATGTGTCAGTTTTTAGACTAGAATTCTTCTCTTGTGGTTTCTATGGCTATATGGTATGTTTTGAGATCAGACTGTATGACGTCTTTAGGCTTGTTCTTTTTTCCCAGGGTTGCTTTGGTTTGGGGTATTTTTATTATTCTGTACAATTATTTTATTTATTGTTTGAAATTTTCATACATGTATGAAATGCATCTTGATCATATGCACCCCTAACTCCCCTTCAAATCTCTTCAGGATTCAGGACACCATCACATACATCTCCCTTTTAGGTTATTTATTTTTTTCTTTTTTTTTAAGTCAGGGTCTTCTTGTAGCCCCAACTGACCTGGAATTCTCTGTGTAGACCAGGCTGGCCTTGATCTTACAGAGATCCAGAGATCCAGAGATCTCCCTGCCTCTGCCTTCTGAGTGATGGGATTAAAGGCGTGCACCACCACACTTGGCTAAATCTCCCTTTTAAAGAGCATTTTTTTTCTATTTCTGTGAAGAATGTTGTTGATATTCTGATTGAATTGAATCTGTGGATTGCTTTGGGTAATAAGAACATTTTAGTAATAAGAGTTTCCTAGCCATGAACATGGGAACTTTTGGGGGGGGTGTTCTCTTCAGTTTTTCTCCTGTGTTTTAGAATTTTCATTATAGAAATCATTCACTTTCTTTGTCACATTATTCCTAGTATAATTTGTAACAATTGTAAGTGGGATTTCTTTTAAACTACTTTGTTACTAGTATGTAGATTTTTTTTAATGTTGATTTGGTGCTATTTAATTTTATTGAATTTCTTTATAAGTTCCAACAGCTTATGGTGGAGCCTTTAAGGGTATTTCTTTAATACATAGAATCCTGTCATTTGAATGTAGGGAAGCTTGACTTCCGACTCCACTCTTTTCTAGTGCCAGATGCCCCCGGCAACCTCCAACTTGCACTCCACAGTGAAGAGGAAGGTGTGATCATTGGCCACTGGACTCCTCCCCTCCACACCCATGGTCTCATTCGTGAGTACGTTGTAAGTACTGTTCAGCAGCTGGTGTGGGTGTGGGAGCACTGGGGATTTCTGGATGCTCTGTGTCACAGGAGGCGATCTGGTATTGTGAATAGTGACCTATCCATTGTGACACTTCACACCTGACTTATTTTCTTTTCCTCTTGCTGTGATAAAAATGCCCTGACAAAAGCAACTTAAGTGAGAAAAGTTTGTTTTGGCTACAGTTCAAGGGTACAGTTCATAATGACAGGGAAAGCAAGGCAGCAGGAGCTTGAGACAGCTGACCACATAGCACCCACCGCCAGGAAGCAGAGAGCCAACCACATAGCATCCACCATCCACCGTCAGGAAGCAGAGAGCACCGAACGCCTGTTCTCAGCTCCCTTTCTTCTTTCGTACATTCTAGCATCCCAGCCCAGTCAGCAGTACCACTCTCAGTGGACAGGTCTTCCTACCTCAGTGAACCTAATTAAGATGATCCCCCATTGCTCAGGCATTGGGGTGCAAGCCTAAATTTAGTCCCAGCCCTTGGGAAGCAAAGACAGGGAGATGAGACAGAAGCCAGCCTGGTCGACATAGCAAGTTGCAGGCCAGCTGGAGCTACAGGGAAACCCTGTCTCAAAAAACAAACAAAAAAGGTAATCCCCACAGGCATGCCCAGAACCCCAGTCTCCCAGATGATTCCAGATCCTGTCACATTGGCAACACTAATCATCACTATACCCTATCTTTTCCTCTCCTGGTCTGTGTCTTTCAAAACATTGGCTGCCCGGACCTCTGGTTACCTTTAATTCATACTGTTTTTTCTCCCTTTAGGTGGAATACAGCAGGAGTGGTTCCAAGATGTGGGCCTCCCAGAGAGCTCCTACCAATTCTACAGAAATAAAGAACTTACTGGTCAATGTTCCGTACAGTGTCAGAGTAAGTATTCACATCCTTTCCAGCCATCTGGGCAGTCTTAGAACTTAGAGAGATGGCTCCAATTTGTCAGCTCTACATTTATTTTTAAGAAATGTGCATTAGTGTTCTTCAAAATACCCAGCTCCTTGTCTTGAAGAGGGCTGACTTACCCCTCGATAACCAGCTCTCCTGCTTGTAACCAGATACTCGGCTAGCCTTCTAGTATCTGTACTTTCGCACCTGTCTCTTTTCTGCTTGTCTTTAGCCGTGTTGTTAGACAAAGCTAAGTGGCATTTTCAAACTGATTTTATAATCTGAAAAGCATAATTTCTGAAACCTAGTATTACTCTATTTAGTAGAAAGGAATAGATTTTGTGCAAAGCATGTTTATTAAGCCCATTAAGTACACATCCCCCTAGAAGCTCCCCTATACTAATAATTTTTCCAGGACCCCTTTTACACATATATATATATACATGTCTCTGTTTGGATATAGAACTTAGAGATCAAATGTATACATGTGCATACCCTTGCCCGTTAGAAGAATCTGGGCACCTATCAGTGAATAGAAATTTCATATTCTTAGTACTATTATGATTCCCTCTGTTTCTTTGCCCTCTTGTTTCAGTTGCTGGGGCCTCCAAATATCCCAATATGTAAATTTTTTCTGCCCTCACTACTGCTGATGTCTTAGCCATTTAACTCATTCAGAATTCTTGCTGTATAGTCTATCACTTGTATTTCCTATTAATTGATGCTCTGATTTGAAAAGGTGGCTGCAGTGACTAGCCGCGGAATAGGAAACTGGAGCGATTCTAAGTCGATCACCACCATAAAAGGAAAAGGTAAATGATTCCAGTCCTTTAGATTGAGAGAAGGCAGAACCCCTTTGGAAATGACCTTCACCAAGACTGGAAAGGAGAATTAAAGGCTAGAAAACTCCTCAGATCCTCCGCTTCCCTACCACAGGCACATGTTGGATGTACAAAGATCACAAGGCTTTGTGGGTGACCATTGAGGGTATTCTCCATCTTAGAATTGGTTCACAAAGGCCATCATGCCAGTCAGTCCCTTTGTGAGCACGTGTAACTTCTAAAGAAGGAGTCCATTTTCACTAAAGCTGGTAAGGTTTGCACAGTCATTTGGCGTGTTATAAAGAAAGCCCCTCACTGATGTTTGTGCCCCCCCGACACTGACAAGCTGTGATAAGGTTGGGGTGGCACCTAACCCCCAGAGATGGTCTTTGGTGCTCTGTAATTCACTGCTCCGCACAGGTCAGCTCATCCAATTGGCCCTTCAGAACAGCTGCAATATTGGATTAGGAAGGAGAGAAAGGTGTATCGCTTGCCCCAGGCCATACATTCAGTGACTGAGCTGGGACTGGAATCCCATACACCTGATTCCAAAGCCTGTGCTCTTAACCATCCTGCTGCAACGCTTCCCCTGGGCTGAGACTCCTGCTCCCCCTGGGCCACTGTGCTTGCCAGGAGGCTGCTCCTCATCCTGCATGTCAGCCTTTTAGGGATGATGTCTGCTCTGTTTTGCTTCACTCCATCCTTGAGATCTAGTGGGGACTGAAGTGGCTGGTGAGTGAATTTAAGCATCCCAACGAAGGGCGCTGGCACCCCTTGAGCAGTGAGTAGACCATCCTCACTGACTTCCTCTGTTAGCCCTGATCTTGGCTACTTTCCCTCCTGGGCTTGAAGATATTAAAACCAGCTGAGCACCGTGGTGTGGAATGTAACTGGGTTATCTGAGCCTGTGAGATGCTTTGAATGAGAATCACTCTGGTAGCCTCTAAAATCTGGAATGTGGAGATCAGGGCAGGAGGCAGCTAGAGTTAATGTTGCCAGCTAGTCAGTGGGCAGAATGCTTGAAGATAGCAAAGAGGGTGTGCTAAATTCATACTCTCCTTGAGCTCTGATCGTCTTTATCATTTCTCCCAACGAAGTCTGTGTCAAACCATACTGACCATCCAAACCCGAAAGAAGTGATTTTGGAAAGTCGGCCTGTTCCTGAATTTAATAGGCACAAGTCCACTCTCCATTTGAAAAATCATCAGGAATGGAGTTTTCTTAGGCCTCTTCTATACGATTTTGCTTAGTCTCAGCTCTTACATGTGTTTTGGTTAGAGTGTGTGCAGGTCAGCTCTGTGCTGCATCAAAAAGTATTGCTGTGAACTAGCCATGACTTGGGATCATAGTAACTGTACTAGATACTTTTCTGTTGCTGTGATAAAACACCATGACCAAGCCAACTTATAGAAGGAAGAGTTTCTCTGGCTTACAGTTCCAGAGGGTTATAGAATCCATAATGGCAGGGGAGGTATGGTAGCAGAAGTAGCCAGAGCAGAAAGCTGGGTGATCACATCTTCAAGCAAGCACAGGAAGCAGGGAGAAGCTAGAAATCCAGCAAGACTTAAGAACTCTCCAAGCCCGCCCCCAGTGACATGCTTCCTCTAGCAAGTCCACACCTCCTAAAACATCCCCAAACAACGCCACCAGCTGGGTACAAAATGTCCAAATACTTGGACCCTATGAGGGACATTCTCGTTCAAACTGCCACAGTGACTTAAGGAGAAAGGTGAAGACCAGAGGCAACAGTGACATCAGTTAGGAGTTCCAGGTTCATTAATGAATGTGGCAGGTTAGTGATGGCACTGACGAGAAGGCTGCCATGTTTAGAGAGTTTCTTGTGTTCTAAGCACCATGCTTGTTTTACATGAATCCTGCGAGAGAAGTATTGTTATCCTCATTTTGTGGCTGAGGGAATTGGGCTTTGGAGAGGGTCGTGATCTGCCTGCGTTGCCATGACTATAGTTCAGGCTGGCTTTCTCACAGCATCAAATGCTATTTGGCTCTGAGTTAGCTGCCTAAAGATTCTCATAGCCTTTCTTTATTGTGTTTTTCTCAATCCTGGTGTTACAACATGCTTGAGCATCTGATGAGACCTCCCAGGATTTTAAAACATGCCTTTTACCCCCAGTTCTCAGCCACTGCTCAGAGTCTCCCTTGCTGGTCCTTTATAAGGGCCTGAATTCTGGAGTCACAGACATAGGTTGTCACTTAAGTGGTATCTTCTGATTATGCATATCCCATAGGGCTATTTTAGATGACACTAGGCTCAACACTCACCTTTCTAGGGGGCAGACCGTTAGCTGATGAGCTGATGCTAATAGGGTGAGCTCGGGGGCTTTTCTCTCGGCCAAGCTCCCCTTGCACCCTCAGATACCAGCTTGTGTTCCTACTTATAAGAACATACCATTGCTCATTAGAAGAGACTTTGCTGGAAAGGGGAAGACATGGAACAGTGGTTGCGTGCTGGGCACTCTTGACTTTCCCTGCTCTGCAGTGTGGAGATACTCAGCAGTGGAAGATACAGACTTACTCCTGGTTTCATAACTATTCAGTGTCAGGGATCAAGAATTCAAACTCAGACTTTCCAGACTCCAGAAGCCATCCTCTTTCCCAGCCAAACACACACACACACACACACACACACACACACACACACACACACCCCACACTAAGATAAAAACAAATGAAGACGGGTACTTCCTCCTTCAGCAAGTCGCCATCCTTCAAAAAGGACTTGAGATAGCTGGAACTTAGTTGGTGCACATAAAGATGGCACTCACAGCGATCTCTATCCCCTTAAGAGCCAAGGCTGAAGGGGCTGGAGAGATGGCTCAGTAGTTAAGAGCACTAGCTGCTCTTGCGGAGGACCTGTGTTTGATTCCCGGAACCTACATGGCAGCTACCAACCATCTGTTAACTCCAGTTCTGGGGATATCCAATACCATCTTCTGACCTCCACAGGCATTGTACAACATGGGTGCACTTACACACTTGCAGGCAATACACTCATACACATAAAATAAAAATAAGCATTTTTTTTTTTTTTTTTTTTAAAGAGCCAAGCTGAAGCTGGGCTATGTGGGGACATTGATATAATGGAACTTTTCTGCTCAACCCAATTGCCGGGCCAGCTGGCCAAGCCAAGATTGTTGTGTGTTCATCAGGCAACAGTCAGGAATATGGTAGAAGAGATAGATGGGTAGGCCACCAGAGATACCCTCTCCTCCTCAGCTGATAGGCCGCTTTGTTAAGTTGAAGCTGTGAGGTCCTACCTTCCTTGCTTTTCATGGTGCGGTTTCTCTCTTTGAATCCTTTTGTTTTCAGTGATCCGACCACCAGATATCCACATTGACAGTTACGATGAAAATTCTCTGAGCTTTACCCTGACCATGGACAGTGATGTCAAGGTAATGTGGAGGTATGGGATTGGTAGCTGGGTGGGTTTGTCCTTTGTGTGGAAATTTATACAACTGAGTGCAAGGAGATCAGGAAAAATGAACAACTTGATCAAGTGAAGCTAAAATACCAGACCTAGGTTGGTTCTCCCCCCACCCCAAGAACAAGTTGAGTCTCCACATATAATTATTCTGCCTCAGCCTGGTGCCTCTTTTCTTTAACCGTATAATTAAATGGTTCACAGCTACGGTGCAGATAAAGAGTTGGTGCTAACAGAATATGTGTGCCCTGTAATTTTCAGCTTTATTGGATTTCCTGGTGCTCAGTGCTAATGCAGAGGTTCCCACAGTGGTGAAGCAAGTTCTTGGGAGAGTTAAACCTTGGAAACATCCACCTCATATCCCCTCATATGCAGCCAGATCCTCCTCATCTGCTACCACTGTCTCTCCGCCCTTCCATCGTCACTGCCAGCTCCACTGTAGTTCCCTGTCCCTGTGGTCTCCAAGTTGAGATCCATTTTCCACAATGTTATTTCCCATCTGCTTGTTCCTTTTCCCGTCCCTCCCAGTTTGTGGAGTTGGAACAAGACAAATAGTCTTCAGAGAACTTTTGACATTCACTTAACCACAATTTATTTTCATGTCCTTGGCTTCAAAAGAGAATTAATCCAAGAAGTGGCCTTCACGTGGCCCTCATCAATAATCTTTGGTCTTGAAAACAGTTTTGTCTTGTTTCTTACTCTATGTGTGAAGATTTTTAGTTCAGAGCCTTCTCTGAGTGGAGAGCTTGTAAAAAGTAGTCTTTCCTAATGCATGGATATCTTATAAACTGATACATTGTATTGTATTGACTTTGTATTGACCTCTTGGCCCCAACTACAAGGATAACCTGAGCTAAGATTTGCCCTCAGTTGCCAGTTACCATAGCCTAAATACCTTTCATTTCTTCCTCATTTTACCTTTGGTAATGGGCTTTTATCTCTTCTACACTTTGTTTCATTACCTATATTTTTATGCTATAGTGAAATAATATTTGTTTTTAGAGAGAGATGAAGGATAACTAGATTTATTTCATGGAAGCACAAATAGAGTTTTTTTTAAAAAATCAAAAGAAACCACTTGCCCATTGGAAGGGGAAAGAGTAACCTCCTGGTGTGCCTGGTGTGTCCTCTGTGTCAGCTGTTCATGTCACACGCTTCCTGATTTTTGGCAGGTCAATGGCTATGTGGTGAACCTTTTCTGGGCATTTGACAGCCACAAACAAGAAAAGAAAACCTTAAACTTCCGAGGGAGCTCGCTGTCACACAAAGGTAATACCTTGGAGCTAGTTGGTGTTTGAACAGGAAGACATAGAGCTAGACCAAGGCTTTCCTGGGAGTAGAGCTTGTGTGAGGGTGCCTGGGAAAGAGGAGGGTCTTCTGCAGAGATGGTTCTGAGTGGACAGCTCTTGTCTGTTGGGATATTGTCAACATGCTCCTGAATCTAGGCAAAGTCTTCACTTGCTGGCTCCTTAAGCCTCTTTCTAAACCTCATGGCTCTAAATGGAACTTGGAAACAGAGAGGAAGAAAAACTGGCAAGAAGCCAGATTAATTCTCTGCAATTGGTTTTTGCATTGCCTAAGAACCAGTCCCCGGATTTTGTCCCCTGTTCCTTTATAGTTCAACCCCACCCCCTCAGCTACTGAGAGGTGGCCTAAAGCCTGATATGAGACTGACGTTTAGTAAATATTTGTCATCTACATGAAAGAGCAAACAAATCAAAGAAAGAGATCCAGTCCTTTCTTAGTTCTGTGCAAAGTGTGGATGCTACTAAAATTCTTATATCTGAATTGGTCTCATGGCTAGATTTTATTTTATTTCTAGAACCTTCTATACCAGAAGCTTCTTGTGAATGCTGAGCATGACATGGGCACTTTCTCCCTTTCTCATTTACAGCTTGTTTGAAAAGTACTTTCAATCATACTTTTTCCCTTCCTTGTTAGTCTTATGAATTAAAAATACAGGTAGATGATGATGATGATGATGATGATGATGATGATGATGATGTTTTTATCTATGCCAAGGATTGTGCATGCTAGGCAAGCTCTCTACAACTGAAGTAGACCCCAGCCCCTTGGTTTTTTAAGATACCATATAGTTCAGGCTAGCCTTAAACTCACTTTGTAGCTCAGGCTAATCCTCATACCGGCAACCCTTCTCCTACCTTAACCACTGGAGTCCTGGGATTATAGGTATGTGTGACCATGCCTAGCTTATCTGTTTGTTTTCCTTTCTTGAAACTGATCCTCTACTAGACTGAATCATTTTCCCAAAGAGACTCTGCGAAGGGAAATAATAATACTTGCTGTATGCAGACATTTATGGAGGTATCCTATGCTGTTTTGGCGGTCTTGTCTTACCTCATCCCAGTAATAATTCTGTGAGGTGTGCTCATGCTTCAGAAATGAAACTGAGGTTCATTCAGTTTCCTCAGAATGTGGCAGAAACAAAATTGGAACATAATGTCTTTCTAGGCCCAGAGTCTGCCTTGCTCCAGTGTCACCACCCTAGGAGAGCCAGCAGGGTCAGGATCAGAGGCTGGTGCCTCACATCTACAAAGGGTTAGCTCACAGCTGGGCATCTAGGAAGGACTGGAAGCTAGGCATCATTCCAGATGCTTTATGAGCATTTTTAAAAATCCTTGCACCAGCCACCTGCTCTGGGTGCTGTCATTTTTCTTCATGTTACAAACAAGGAAACAGACAGGTGCAATCCATGACCAGGGTGTTGCAGTCATGAAATGTGGAGATGGGCTTGAGTTCCTCGGTCCTTCTGACGACAGAGGTGACCCTCTCAGCATGCTCCTCTTTGCTCACCCCTTTTAGTTGTTATCCCCAGTTTAAAAAAGAATACATGCTACTTTCAGAACATGTAGACAGAAGAGTATACTGAAAAGTAAAAATTTTCCATATTTTCACTTGCATTTCAGATATTTTTTCATATTTTTATGTACATTGATCTCTTTATCTCTTTTATATAAAATCAGAATATGACCTGTATTTTTATATCCTTCATTTTTTTCTTAGCAAAAATTGGTGAGAATTTTCTAGTGTCATTAAGTATTCTCTGGAACAAGTTTTCAAGGGTTATGTAGTAGCTATTCACTGCCTTGTCTCCAGACAGGTTCTACAGAATTTTTAAATTTGTAATTTTTAAATTCTTTGACAATTTCATACATGTATGTAATGGATTTTGGTCACCCTGCACCTTAGCCCCTCTCATCCCCCACCTCTCTTATTGAAACTTTTTTCTTCACAAGTTCCTCTCCTATTTTCATGTCTCTGTGTGTGTGTGTGTGTGTGTGTGTGAGAGAGAGAGAGAGAGAGAAAATGTGTGTGTGTGTGTGTGTGTGTGTGTGTGTGTGAGAGAGAGAGAGAGAGAGAGAGAGAGAGAGAGAGAGAGAGAGAGAGAGAGAGACCCACTGAGTTTAACTGGTGTTGCTTGCATGAGCATAGATGGTGGGCTATTTATTAGAGCCTGGGCAATTTATCAGTGGCTACACCACTGAAGCAAAAGACACACCCTCCCAAAGCAACCACTAGCTGCCAGTGTTTCTCTACTGAAGAAACACCGAGGTAGATGTCCCTGTCTCTGATTTCCTTGGCTAGCTGGATTGATGGGTGTGAGTCTCAAGACTCTGGTAACACAAGTCCAGATAGTTGTGCAGGAACATGACAGTTTTATTCCCACACTGTTAGCTTTAGAAGTTACCCAGTCTCTGTGAGCTATGTGTGCTAGATACCAGGAATATCAAATGAACTTGCACACTATCACAGAATACTGCATGTGGGGCTCGCTTAGACTGAGAAATTACTTTTAAAGAATGGGGTGTCTACATCCACACAGATTCTTCACTGCTACCCCCTCTTCCACCATACAACACACCCCTGGCATTTTCTTGTCCTTCTCTTCACAGTTGGCAATCTGACAGCTCACACATCCTATGAGATTTCTGCCTGGGCCAAGACAGACCTGGGGGATAGTCCGATGGCATTTGAGCATGTCCTGACCAGAGGTGTTCGCCCACCTGCTCCTAGTCTCAAAGCCAAGGCCATCAACCAGACTGCTGTGGAGTGCACCTGGACTGGCCCCAAGAATGTGGTATGTGGGCAAGCATGGCCAGCCTAGAAGGAACCTGAACCCTGCCCAGGCCTAAGCTGTTGGACAGACATGGGGCCTTCCTTCCTGATGCTTCTTGCTTTCTTATCCCAAACACAGGCCACTCACCTCTCCTGCCAGCTCAGTATTACCTTCTGAAGGGACCTGATGCATCCCTGACCTCACCCTGGTCTAGCCTCAGAGATAAACACCCTGATGTTTGTTGTTGAATAGACCACACATGTAGTTTGCCATATTCCTGTGTTCCTGGTGGACCTGTTGAGAAGTTTTTAATCTAATAGCATCTTTTCTTTCTCATGACTCAAATCAGGATGCTGAGCTAGGGACTGTGGCAAAAAGCCCTGAGCCCTCCTTGGTATTCTCTTTTGCCTTGAAGTAGACTCTACCCACAAGGAGACGTTCCTCTATTAATATGGCCAACTCGGCTCATACCCACTTGCCCCACTGAGCTGTCCTTCAGGGTGCAATCTACAGAACACTGGAGCATCACTCAATTTTAAGGTCTCTAATTACTTGTACATTTGGAGAAACATCCTTGCTATGCTTCATCCTGGCTCACACACTGGTCATACACAGCCCAGCTTCCACAGATGATGGAGCAACTGAGGCCCCATGTGATGGCCCTCACCTGTTCACTGAGCACTCTGGCGGCTCTCATGGTCTTCCTCTTTATCATCTGTGAGGAAACCCTTCTTGTGTCTTGACTCCTATGGCCCTGGGGACTCTTCCCTGTGTCTTGCCTCCCTACCCTATGGCACCATAGACCCTGCTATGATGAGATCACCCTGCCTCTGAGATCCAAACCCCTATTGGGCCCACAGCCCTCCTTATTGAGCCTTGAGGCTTCCTTGTTCCTCTCTTGTTGTCACATTTGTTTTCCCAACGTGGAGTCTCTTAACTCCTCTCGTCTCCCATATCCCCCAGTAACTAACCCTGGAGGACCTCCTTTCCTCTTTCACTGCCCAAGCTCTTCCTTCTCCAGAGCAGAATTATAAGAAGTGGCACTGTTGTCTGGGTCTTGAAAGACCTTTTTGGTATCCCCAGGCAATCTCCTCTGTTCTCACTGCACCTGCAGACCCACAGTCGTCAAGCACCTGGCTTCCTGTACACATATTCAGAAGAGGAAACTCTGATTCTACTTTACCTAGAAACCTTCCTCAGCCTGTACCTTCTTATTATACACTCATTCAGATGCCATTCCTTGCTAGAAGCGTAGTCAAATTCTCACTCCCATGGTTTGAGAGTCCTTCGGCTTCCTACATGGACGCACAAGAGTGAGAACGACAGTGTTAAGAGAAGAATGGAGTCAGTGCTTTACACTTTCCCTCTGATCAAGTGACGCTTGAGGCGCAGCAGTTCAGGGCCTCTACTGCAGCAACACAGTTTCACCCTCAGCAGGACACAAGCCCTACCATCTCCAGCCAGTGGTGTCCGTCTTTAAGGTCACCTTGTGGTTAGATAGGCCTGCTGGAGCCATGATTGGTGTCTGCATCCTAGGCAAGTAGGAAGGCAGGAAGATGGGCTGTCCCTCCATTTTAATGAACCTCCTGGACCTTCCCACAGGGCAATTCTGCTTGCATCTCATTGGCTGAGACCTTGTCACGTGGCTCTCTTTAGCTTCCAGAGAGGTGGGGAATTCAGACTTCTTCCCACCAGGGTTCTAGTAAGAAAGGGAGAGTTGGGAGGTCTGCTGGGCAGGTGGTTCTGCCCCTTCCACATGCTCCTGAGATTCCCACGCTCACTTGTCAGCTCCCACGCCACCCCCACAGCACAGCCACACAACTCCATTTCTGCTGTTTGATTGCAAAATGTCACCCCTTTGGTAAGCCCGCTCTTTGCTCTGATTGGTCATGCAGTCCTCAGTGTAGCATCTGATGCTTCTCATTTGCTCTTGTTACTGAAGGGGTTCCCTTTTATTCCCCACCCATCTTTCCTCAAGTGCAAGCTCTCTGAGAACAGAGTGCCCCCACAGTGCCTGCCCATTTTCAGTGCTCACTATTCACGTGATAAAGGTTGAGGGGAGACTTCTCTGAGTTCATTGGAACCACTTCGAAGGTCTCAAGTTATTAATTTCAAAACACGAGGGCACTGGTCCATGGGCTGATAGGCTTTTCCTTTCGCCGCCAGGTTTATGGCATTTTCTATGCCACCTCCTTCCTTGACCTCTACCGAAACCCCAAGAGCTTGACTACTTCACTGCACAATAAGACAGTCATTGTCAGCAAAGATGAACAGTACTTGTTTCTGGTAAGTTTCTTGTACCGAGGAAACATGAGTTTCTGATCTTAAGCGATGTCTTAACTCCTGGGCTCCTGAACTCAACTCTAGACTTGGAGCTAGGCACCTAGGTTCTTGGCTAAGTGTGTGTGGCAGGAGGAGAGTTCATTTTGTTTGTAAGCATCAAATCAGTTTCCCAAATGCAGCTTGGTGATGGAGGATTGCTGACTTGGCAAATGGGTCACAGATTCAGGTAAAGTTTTGTCTGAACTTACTCCAAGGAATCCAGCCTCTGTACTGTTACACGTGTGTATGCCCAGGTATGTGGGAAAAGATATGTGGACTAGTATTACTTATGATAACAAAAGATTTGATACAACTTAAATCTCTCGAGAAGGAATTGGTTAAATCATCATTATGGCTTATCCATGGAATAGAATATATAAGACAACCTTCCCAAGGAAAGGCAACTCTGGGCCGGACAGGGTGGCACATGCCTTTAATCCCAGCACTCAGGAGGCAGAGGCAGGTGGAGCTCAATGAGTTCAAGGCCATCCTGGTCTACATAGTAAGTTCCAGGCCAGCTGGGGCTACAGGGAGACCCTGTCTCAAGAAAGAGCAAAAAAGGCAATTCTGGATTTAATAATGTGGAAAAGAAATCTCTGAGTTATATTAATGTCAGGAATTTAAAGTATAGTATGTATGCTGTTTTCTCAGTTGTATAAAAGAGATCTAAGAAAGACAGGCTGCACCTTCACATGCATGCATATATGCCATTCACACACATATATGTGTGAATTTGCATACATACATACATACATACATACATACATACATGTCTGTGTTTATATCTATGCCTAGGGCATGTCTGAAAGATGATAAAACCATTTAATAAAAGACAGGATCAATGGCTCAGCAGTTAAGACCACTGGCTGCTCTTGTAGAGGACCCAGGTTCAGTTCCCAGTACTCACATGGAGGCTAACAGCCATCAGTAACTCCAGTTTCAGGGGATCTGATGTCGTCTTCTGGTTTCTGTGGGTACTGCATGCTGGTTGTATACTTTCATACATGCAGGCAGAACATTCATACACATAAAACAAAAATAAATAAAAAAATTTTAAATCAATGTAGCAAATGGTCTGGCTTAGGCAAGGAGCTGTTTTATATTATTTTCATGCTAATCAAACTTTAATTGTGGTCCTATGTCATTATCTTGTTAAAAAGTAGTTTAATGGAAATTGTATGAGCCCACTTGGTATTGTTTTCCTGTGTATGTCCTTGGGCCCTAGGTGCGGGTGTTGATACCTTACCAAGGACCATCTTCTGACTACGTTGTAGTGAAGATGATCCCAGACAGCAGGCTTCCACCCCGTCACCTGCATGCAGTCCAGATAGGCAAAACCTCAGCTGTCATCAAGTGGGAATCTCCATACGACTCTCCTGACCAGGACTTGGTGAGTGGGTGAGGCATGCAGGCAGTCTTGCTTTTTCTTAGCATGCTTTGGATGGGTGGGGTGGAGAGGAAGGGGTCCAATAATGGCACTGGTAACATAGGCCTAGTAGCTGAGCTTAGCAGGCCTTGTTCCCATTTCTATGTGGCTAAAGATAAATCTTCACAGGGACCCCTTCTAAGTTGACCCTCCTCCACTCTTCCAAGCTGCCATATTCCTTTGTCCTTTCTTGGCTTCCCATGTCCTCTTTGTCGACCAGAGGTCAACAAATGAAGGCCTATAGGCCAAATCTAGCCTTTGACTTACTTTATAACTAATATTTAATTGGAACCAAGTCACACCCACCTGCTTACATAATGACCTGTTCCTGCTTTTGTGCTGCAAGCAGCAGAATTAAGTATTTGCGGTGGAGACCCTCTGATCCTCAAAGCCTAAAATATCTACTGTCTGGATCTTTTCAGAGACTTTGTTGTCTCTGGCTAAAAAGAAGGGATGTTGCTCCTAGAAAACATCCCCACTTTCCCTTGCTCTGGACTGCTTTGACCTCTGCCCCTCCATCCTGGCAGTGGTTCACTGTCAGTGCTTGTCTGCAGAAACATCTCTTGGCTCTCAGATTCCTCCTGGTGGTTGACTTTCCTATGCTTCCTACATGTCCTTTTACCGCTATTCTCTCCTGTGTGTGAGAATCAGCCTGGGAGAGGGAAGTAGAGCTGTTTGTGCTTGAGGGCTGGGATGGAGCAACTTCGTCCATAGTCCCCCCAACGGTATCCACAGACTTGCTGTGCTGAAGGGATATTGACTTGTGTATTGGAGCCTAGCTGCTAGTGCGTGATAAATGTGGCTTTCCCTGGAGGGTTTTGGTTTCCTGTTTTCCTTCCTTTTCTTCCCCTTTCTCCCTTTCGTCCCTTCCTTTCTTTCCCTTCTCCATTCCCTGTTCCTTTTCTTCTCTCCCACTCCTCCCTCTCTCTCTCTCTCTCTCTCTCTCTCTCTCTCTCTCTCTCTCTCTCTCTCTCTCTCTCTTTTAATCTAGTTAATACTTGTATACAGATTTCTGGGAATGCAGACTTGTTATAAGGCTAATCCCAAAGGCTTTCTAAAGGACAAAATTCAGACTTGGGGCTCAGATTATTGTTGGGGAGGATCACAGCCACCGCCATACTGTCAGCCCCATACCTGAGTTCCATATCTGTGGATTCAACCAACTGCAGGTGGAAAATACTTGACAAAAGGATTACATCTGTGTGGAACGTGCACAGCTATTTTTTCTTGCCATTATTCCCTGACAATGTGATATGTTGTCTGTTACATGGGATTTACATTCCATGAGCTATTGTCAACGATCTAGAATTGATTTAAAGTACACATGGTGTTGTATTACGTTATATGCAAAAACTGTGCCATTGTATATATGGGATTTAGAATCTACGACCAGTCTCAGAGGCAGTCCCCTACAGATACCCAGAGATGACCATACGTACATCATATCACCTGACATTGACCTACAAAGAGTGGACAAGGCCATATTTATGATATTTCTTTTTTAGTTCTATGCAATCACAGTTAAAGACCTGATAAGAAAGACTGACAGGAGCTACAAAGTAAAATCCCGAAACAGCACTGTGGAGTACACCCTTAACAGGTTGGAGCCTGGTGGAAAATACCATGTCGTTGTCCAACTGGGGAACATGAGCAAAGATTGCAGCATAAAAATTACCACAGGTAAGCAGAGGCAGAGAGAGGCCCTGCCCACAGTACTGCAGACTCTGTCCTTTACTACCCACGCTGTGGCAGAGCGGTGCAGGGATATGGGGGTCCCCTGGGCTATAGAGAAATGGCTGGGAAAAGCACTCTGCCACTGAACTACAGTCTCTCTAAGACTTTTATACTACTGTCTTTTAGTCTTACCATTGCTTGGAAGGAAAGGAGGAATGCCCAAGAGAGTTAAGAAATCCAACTATCTTTTCCATCGAGGCCAAGCATTGACCCTAGGACCTGGATAGCAGTCAGTGGTTCTTTTGGCATTCTGGCATTAGGAATAGAAGGGAGGGAGACCAATAATGAGGCTGTGGACTGGAAGGTTTGTCAGGCTCAGGTTCAGTGAGTGGTGAGTCAGCAGCGAACAGTATCAGCATTTGTAGTAATGGAGGCCCAGCCTTGTTGGGCTGATGGGCCTGGGCCCTGCTCCATGTCCCCCCAGGGCCCTGTGTTCAGCACAACTCCTTATCTCCTCCCTTGCTGTCTTCGCTACCTCTGCCTGCTTGCTGTCTGGTTTTGTCCTTCCTTGAGTCCAAGGGCTATACTTTTAGATACTGTCCAGATTTCATGGTTAAAGGACTGATAACAATGGTAACTAGGATATCTATTAAAGCATTCTGTATTAAGTAGTATATGTGTTTGTTTCTTTGCTAATCCAACCCTTGGAAGCTGTTGTTATTCAACCTCTCTTTAACAGTCAAGAAACAGATTCTGATGTATATGTCCACTAATTGAAACTTGCTTCCTCTTTAATTTCTAGCTTCATTATCAGCACCTGATGCCTTAAAAATCATAACAGAAAATGACCATGTTCTTCTGTTTTGGAAAAGTCTAGCTTTAAAGGAAAAGCAGTTTAATGAAACCAGGGTAAGTACCTCCTACATTCTCAATGACTTTGGAACTCTGATTGAAGAGCTGTTTTGGAGATGAGCTCCTTAACAGCAGGTTGGCATAGACAGTATGAAGAAAGAAGGAACTGTACGGCATGGAAATGAACTTGAGAATTAAAGGACCATTTTCTGTGGGTTCCCTAATTAGTAAAGTGCTTATGCTGACCATTAAGGGTAAGAATCTCTACATACACTAAGCACTTTTCAGTTCTGCTCTTTTCTTCCTTGGAAGGAAGAGGAGTGGGTGGGAGACTCACGATACTTCCTGGAGCTGGGCTGGGCTGAGCATTTGAACCAAGACCCCACCTTTCCTAGACCCTTTGATGGCTAGGCTCTGGCTCTAGTGCTAGGGAGCTGAGCCACATTCTCAACTTGGTGTCTTGTCATTTCCTCCCCAGAAGGAATTGGAAGTGTATGAAGACAGTTGTGACTAATGAACAATATCTTTGTTGCTATGGTGGACCAGTACTCTGTCCATCTGTCCATGGGGAGGTTTGGAAGAAGAGTGAGACCTGAGAGATTTGTTAGAAATGGTGGAATCCTTCTTGAGTTGGAGCTGGCTTGGCCCTTTGACAGCAAAACATTAGACTAGTTGTGTTTCTATGACCCGGCTGTGGCTACCTTGGGGCACAGTATAGGCAAAGAGGCCAAGGGTTCTCCACAGTCACACTGTAATGCCAGAGCCAGATTGAGGTACAATTTGAAAATCCTTACCACCCCGTGAGAATCTTCATAGCTCCCAAGGCTGTGACATCTACCTGGTTGATGTCTTTAATATCACATCTACCCCGGAACAGTTAAACAGTCCAGAGCTATGAGCAGGAAGAGTCACTAGGAACCTGAGGGCAAGGCTGTGGTCCATCACTTCTGTCGCCACCGTGTACAGTAGGCAAGAGTTAGGAACCACATAGAATATAAATTCAATCAAACTTCCGGAAGGCTCTGTGGTAGTGCTTATCAAGAACATTGAAAATAGCTGGGTGTGGTGACACATGCCTTTAATCCCAGCACTCAGGAGGCAGGGGCAGGCAGATGTCTTTGAGATGGAGGCCAGCCTGGTCTGCTTAAGGAGTTCCAGGCCAGCTGAAGCTACAGGGAGACCTGTCTCAACAAAACAAAACCAGACCAAACCAAAATAGAACAACAGAAAGCATTGAAAATATTCACATTTCTTGATCCAGTTATTCATCTAGGACTTTAAGGAAGAAGTGCATAAAAAATTTTTTATGTATTATTTAATGACAGAAAGACAAAGCCTCCTAAATGTTCAACACAAGAAGACTATTGAAAGAAAGCAGTTAGTTGATGTTTGCATACATTTTTTTCTTTGTACTTTTATGTATTTTACAAATTTTCTGCACTGGATCTAACCCAGCTAGTAAGCAATCATTGCTAATTTATGAGAAGAGATATAGGATGCCAGGCAGGAGTTGGGAACGTCCTACTTTCTACTTGGGGAGCCTGTCTGGGGAGCAGAAGCCCAGCTTTAGACTGGGATTACAGGTCAGTGTTCCGTTCCTAGTGGAGGGTGCTGGCAAGGGTACAACATGACCTCCTCCCCTCCTCCTGGCGTGGAGTTGGAGACAGGTCAATGGAGTAGGAACCAGGAGACTGTGATTGTGTGGTGAGCTCAGAGTTTGACACTGGAATGCTGGAGGACAGCAGAGAAGCTGGTCATCAGTCTAATCCCAGCATCCACCAGCATTTTGGGTCTGGCTTGTCACTGTCCTGGCACGATGGTCTGAGACTTCCTGAGGCAGTGTGGGCAGATTGCTTCATACTGTCCTCTAGTGATTAGGGCCTTCAAGCTGCTGAAGTGCTTGGGTGTCAAGGTCAGACTGTTTGACTCTGGAATCAGCTTAGAAAGAACTAGAAAGCAAGGAAGACAGGAAGTGAATGACAGTGATCTCCCAACATTCTATTCTGGGGAGATACCTCTTTCTTTTCTGACTGTAAGTTCCCTGGTCTTGACTGAGCCATTAAAACCATGATGCTCCCCTACTGCAAACTGTTACTGAAGTGTCTAAGTTTTTTTGTGCCATCAATACTGCTGTAGAGAAGCAGCTCCTGAGTATGTGTTGGCTGAAATGGTGAGATAGTGACTTCTTGGGCCTTCCCATTATTTATCTTCAAGCCATGGCCATTGATCTATCTCAGCGGTATTTCTTCTGCTATAAAGACAAATGGAAGGAAGTAGAGACATTTAAACAAACATGAATGTAAATACAAATGTCTAGACGATATCCCAGTAGGTGTACTATACTCATTAAACAGTATACTTGTGATGGCTTCCCCACTATGGCCTGTAGCCTTTCTCGACACAGGGGGTGTGCCTGGTCTACAGCACCAGATGTGTGTTCCACCCCTAGGAGTGGGACTTATCCAATTAGAAATTTGTCAGTTGTACATATGTTACTTGAGCCATCATTGTACTTGCAGGCATTGCTTGGCATGTCCATAGTGTGTAGCACATGGGGTCCATTGTTGAGTAGAATCATAGGGGATCCTTTTTCCCCATCTATCTGCATAGTGCCTTCTGGTACTCTGAAGTCATCGATCCAGTGGCATGGAGTTTTTGGCTTAGTCTCAGCTCTGTCTTTTCTTTTCTTCCCATGCTCACATCACGCAGTGTCTTCAGCAACATGGCCTTACTGACCTTTTTAGTGTACAACTGACATCAGTGGCAATAGCCTTGGTGAGTTGGAGGACCTCTAGGATCTCTCTCTGACCAACAGCTCATAGAGGGGCAACCCACCCCTGGTACTGTAGATTTTCTTAACAGTTCTATAGTTTGGGAGTCTCTATTTTATTTTACCCAACCATAAAACTTCCAGGAATCTTACAGCTATAGCTGGCCTTTGCTTCTTCAGGTATCTTTCAAATGGGTTTCACATCTGTAAAACAGTCCAAGGAAAGTTAACACTATATATTAAGTCAATCATAGACAAGGTCTAACACAGCATGGAAAGGTTTTATCCATTGATATTAACTGTTTTCTCCATAGATCTTTGTTAGGTACCATAGCATGGGTAAGAGGCATTAATTTGGTTAGTTCTTTACTATCTTTAGTTATCCCTTGGGAGTCATTCCACATTCTGGGGATCTTGCATGGAGTCTCTTTGCATTCCTTTATCTTTGATACACTTACAGGTGTTGGCGCCAGTTGCCTGACCCTGCACCAGGCTAAGGAGGCAGGGTCTTCGTGTCCCCAATACACCCATTGGTTTCCTGAGTCAGGCAGGCTCTGGGTCTGCCTCCTGATTGTAGCTATATCTGTCATCCCTCTATTGACCATAGCTGGCTTCTGGGGGAGGTATTGGTGGGAAAAACTACCTCCATCCCTAGTATAACCTTTATCAGGAGAGAAATGCACCTTATTCAATCTTTGGGGAGCCTTAACCACCCTTGGGACAGTTTTTATCCTTTGAATGCCTTTTGTAAACTGTTGTTCTGGTTTTAAAGCCTTTCAGAACCTCCTTAGTACCAAATTTGGTTTGGTATCAATTTTTTCTTTGGGAATTTGAGCTCGACATAAGTCTTGCCTCACTTGCCTTCGAGTAACCCAAACAGACCATTTCTTCTGTCTGGTCTTCTTTATGTCCCTTATAGGGTGTTCTGTTATTCTACAGGCACGTTTTACACATTGGTCAAAGCCACTTAGATCTGCTAAAGCCTTTCTCACTTTACAAAGACCCTGTCCTGTTAAAGGGCTTGGCAAAACCATTACAGTTCCATACCATTCTTGAGGTCCCAATTGAAGTAAGCTTTCTTTTCTATCTCTGGTGAACACAGTCTTATCTGGCCCAGTGAACTGGGCATCATATATTGCTTTTCTCATACCTAGTTCTCTCAGTAATGCCTGTCCCTCCTTTATAGTCCTCCAGCCCCTGATAATCATGTTAGTCTCCCTTGGTGATGACCATGTATCTTTAATGCCTTCCACCAGTCATCCCATTAAGGACTGCTCCCCCCTGCAGTGGCCTAGGTTGAACAGCCTATATCACAAGGACAGATGGGTGGTTATATAACTCAGCGATGAAGCTTCTGAAGGACTTAGACTGACATTATTTGTTCCCGTATCCCACACCCTCCCAAGCCATGTGGAGAGGCCTCCTTGATTGCTTGCTTGTTTTTCCTAGTTTTAACAGTTCCAGTGCTGAGTATTTCCTAGCTACAGTACTGTTAGCTTTCTTTCCTTTCTGTATCAAAGGTTGAATCTGAGGGGCAGCCATAGCCACTTTCATTTTTAGGTCGTTTCCTTTTTCATTTCTGGGTTCTCTTCTTGTGTCCCAGGCTTGTAAAACTTTTTCTAGCTTTTCTGTAACCTTTAACAGATTTTTGTATACCTGCAACTGGGCTATTTCCCCACATTCACAACACAGCTGTGGCCCACGCTTCCGTGTAGCTGACCCCTTTTTAGTTACATATTTTATAACCCATTGTAAGATCCCCATCAGCGCTGTCATTAGCTCCCTAGCTTTTTCCAAACTCCTATGGTTTGTTGTTTCCAGCACCATTCTGCCGGCTGCTCCAGTTTGTCACCTGAGTTCTCTTAGGGTCCCTTGCTCCTGGCGCTGTTAAACAAACCGTATAACACATCTTTATCTGAATTTTTCATAGTTTATATCCTGGGTAGGGGAAATAGAGTAACTTACAAAGGCGAACACCGGCACCCCACACCTGGTGCCCTGTTCCCCTCTGTGGCTCAGTGGCCCGCCATTCCAGATCACTTCCATGCCCTGCCCACAGTCTCCCTTAGCTTTCCCCCATGTCTCATGGGCCCACAGTCTCACCCCAGGTCGGTAAATGCCCCCTCTCACATCCATGCAGGCGAGACACTGGGGTCATTTCTTCCCTGCTGCCCCCGAGATGGTGCCAACACTCCTCCCTCCTGCTAACTCTCTGCAGCCAATTCTCCACAGGTCCATACCTTGAGCTTCTGCTCTGCAGTTTGTATTTGGGCAAAGCTCTGTTTTCTGAATTCAGCATCTCCATGGCATCATGAAAAGAACTAATGAGGGACATAAAGTGCCTTAGCATTTGTGAAAGCCTGCATTCAGGGGCTCCTGTAGGGTCTGAGCCTGTAACAGAAACCACCTGGTTCCTTATTCAACCCTCTGAACGGTCTGGTGTGTGTGTGTATTTGCAGGGCTATGAGATACATATGTTTGACAGTGCTATGAATCTCACCGCTTACCTTGGGAATACTACTGACAATTTCTTTAAAGTGTCCAACTTGAAGATGGGTCATAATTATACCTTCACTGTCCAAGCACGATGCCTCTTTGGCAGCCAGATCTGTGGGGAGCCTGCAGTGCTTTTGTATGACGAGCTGAGCTCAGGTGAGTTGCTGTGTGGCTGCCCTGTCTGTCTCCCGTTATGGGGAAGGAGCAGGGTGTGTGATATGGGCTGATGGTCTTTCTAAAATACATTTCAAATACTCAAAGTCACTTATGTGCCAATTTAGTCAGGTACTGATTCAGTTAACAAATATTTCCTGGCCAGTCATGGTACTGGCACAAGGAGTTGAGGTCACAAGGCACCATACTGAGTGCAAAGTTCAGGAAAGGGAAAGTTTTCTTTAACATTGTATTTGGGAAACACAGTAGATGTATTAATTACTTGTTACTGTGACTACCTGAGAAGAAGCAACTTAAGGGTGGAAGGATTTATTTGGGCTCATGGTTGGAGGAGATGCAGCCCAGCAGGAGTCTGAGGTTGCTGGTTACTGCACCTGCGGTCAGGGAGCAGAAATAGAAGGATGCTGGTGCCCAGCTCACCTTCCCTTTTCCTCCTTTGTTCCATCCAAGCCCCGATCTCCCAGGGATTGTACCATCCTCAATGAAAATGGGTCTTTCCCCCTCAGTATCTCTGAAAGGCTCTCATAGCCATACCCAGAAATACATCTGTCTTTGAAGTGATTCTAAATCTAGTCAGGTTCACAGTGGAGATTAACCATCAGGCTAGATTCACAGGTCTTCGCAGAGCTGTTAATAAGCGGGTACACCCTGTAGGTCTTCACATCAGGAGCTCATCATGTATAGCCCATCCTGTAAGACCAGGACTGGAGTGTGGCCTGGGACACATGAGAATAGAGTATTAGCACTGGGCCACATTAGTGCTTTACAAGGAGTCTGCTCACATTGTGGTAGCTTGGCCAGGATTTCAACAAACATCTTACCACTGGACTTTTTAGTTTCATTTCTTTATAGCTAAGACCTAACCATGGCTGAAGCCCAAGTCTTTGTGTTAGAGGTGAGTTGTTAAGTGCTCTGCATGGTATGCGCCTGCACAATGCTCATTCTCTCAAAGGAAGAAAACTCTTCCACCTCCTTCGGAGGGTCATGGTGTATTTGAGGCTCTGGGAGGGTCCTACGGAAAACAAACAGCAAAACTTTTGGTAACATGCAGCTTCTTTAATAGTGCTCTGTTTTTAAACAAAATTAGTTATTAATCTGTGAAATACACATTGGGAAAATTATCATAAGGACTCTTATCAGCTGCGGAAATCAAGCTCGTCAGAAGCTCACCGTCCTGCCACTCTGTGCTCCAGACAGGAGCTTGCCTTTTTTAATTTGCCACTGCACCATTTAATAGGCTGAAACACATTAAGGTTTTGTTAGAGGTTTGTTTTTGTTTGTTTATTGTTGTTTTTGTTTTTTTCCCCAGTCAGAAAATGAAAGAAATTTAAATATTATAGACATGCATATTGCATTACTAGATTAGACTTACCAGAAATGGCTGCTGTCTGGCCTGTTTTTATGAGCACTTTACATGAATCCCTGGGTAGGTATAGTACTTTCTCTGTGAGACAGGAACTTACCTGTATCATTTCCTCCAAAACCAGGGATCAACCCCAAGGTCTGTGGAGGTCACAGCCAAGGAAATTCCAGTCTGCCTTCTCTGCTAAAACAGTTTCCAAAGCACCAATTTCCTGCCCCAAGTTCAGCTACCCCAAGATTTTAAATGTTGAAAGTCTCTACTTTCAAGATCATGGTTCTAACTCCCAACAGCTCTGGAGTGAGAGGATGGGAAATGGCCCTGCGCTAGAGTGCCAGTGGTACCCATCTGTCAAGAAGCCATCTAAAGCCTTCATTTGTTTAAGATCATCAGAAGGCAGCAACTTAATTTAAATTATAAACACCTAAATGACTTTGTAGAGTGCTTTGAAAAATGTCAAATATATTTTGAAAGATTTTTCTCTTTTTTACCCCTTAAGTTAAAGGGGAAAAAAAAAAAACCTCATAAAACTTCATGAGCTGTTAAGTCAGTATTGTAGTGAGGGAATCTCGTTTATATCACTTAATGGAGCTTCAGGTAATTGTAATTCAGAGTGACTTTGGTGCCAAGTAGGGGAAAATAATTGCAATCTCGTTAATTAGTGGTCTGATTTCACATCCTCTTATGTAAGGCAAGCAAGTGGTCTAATGAAATCAATGTTGATGCCCCAACAAAGGTCTCCCTTCTAAGAGATTATCTAAATAACCAACAAGGCAGTGATTAGGAGTCCAATGTAATTACTGTATTTGCACGTGTAAGGCCCATGGTCTGGAGTCTCAGGGCAAGTACTTGGGAAACATTCAAAATTCATGCATGTGCATAAATGTGTCACACCAGACAGGCAGGCTGGTTGCTGTAGGCCTTGCAAACTCTGGACCTTTTGTTTTGTGGGTGGGGCCTGGAGTTCCCTGGTCTGGTCTCTTCTCCACCCCTCTGGAGGAGGCTCACTGTCTGGGAATTTCGCTCGGCAGGTGGAGATGCAGCAGCGGTCCAGGCTGCCAGGTCTACTGATGTTGCTGCTGTGGTGGTTCCTGTCTTGTTCCTGATCCTGCTGAGCCTGGGTGTGGGGTTTGCTGTCCTGTACACAAAGCATCGCAGGCTGCAGAGCAGCTTCACTGCTTTTGCCAACAGCCACTACAGCTCCAGGCTGGGCTCAGCCATCTTCTCCTCTGGAGATGACCTGGGTAAGTAGCCATGGGCCCCGGGGCAAATGCCACAAAGTCAGTGAGCTGGTCAGGGAAGACTCTGCTCAGCCTTTCAAGAGAGAAGTCAGTCTTTAGTGATTTCACCACCTAGGGCTGTATCAGTGGGAGCCCTCACTTTTTAATTTGCTCTAAATCAAAACACCACCTTCTCTTTAGTCACGTAGTTCAGGCCCAGAACAGAGAACCAGGAGGAGTTTGCTTTGTACAGGAAGGAGTGCTAGGCCCTGGGTTTGAATACTCCCAAAATGTCAGGAAATTCTCGAGCATGCCATCTGACCCCAGTCTGATCCCTCCTCTGAAGAACTTCAGGAGGAAAGTCAAGGTGCCCAGTCAACTTCTGTGGGAGGCCCTTCCGTCTTTCCTCCTTCCATTGCTAGTACAGTTGTGCTTCCTTCTTCTCTGTAGGGATGATACAATAATGGGAAAAAAGGAGATCTTGGGGCTGGGGAGATGGCTCAGCAGTTAAGAGTGCTGGCTGTTCTTGGAGAGGACCCGAGTTCAATTCCTAGCACCCACATGGCAGCTAAGAACCATCCATAACTCCAGTTCCATGGGATCTGATGTTCTCTCTGACCTCTGTGGGCATTGTACCACACAGGCACACTTATATACATGCAGGCAATATGCTCATACACCTAAAATAAAAATAATAAAATATTTTTTTAAAGAGGAAATCTTCTCACCCCTGTAAGAAGTCTTCGCATGCTGCAACTCCTTAAATAAGATAGCTAGTACCAAGATCATGTGATAAAGTGGTTGTGGAAAAGGTTTCCTGAAACTCAAAGTACCAGATGCGAGTTTGCAGGTTTGCTGTTCCTGTAAACTCATAGTTACTTTTCTGTTTATGAAGACACATGTGTTTGCACTCACTAATCATGTTATCAGCTGTGTTCCCTTGTCATCTTAGTTTCCTTTGTTGCTTAATCAGTAAGTACACAGACTACTTTGCGTGAATGGGGATGCCTTCTTTTGGTCTTTGGGATTCTTCATAAATCTCTGAACACCAGTTGACAGGTATCTCAAGTGGACAGCCATTAAGTCCAGGAAGCTATCCTCAAAATTCTTAATTCCTTCAATCTCCTTTTCCTAGGAGCAGTTTAGATTCAAAAGAGAAAGAAGACAGGGATAACTCAACTGGGAGAAGCAACCCACACATTTAGCTGTAGTGATGAGATTCACCTTCCTATTAATTTTACTTCAAACTATTAAAAATTAAGCTTAGTCACCTAGGGATGGGAAAGAAATGGTCTGAGCTTGGCAGAGGGAGGCTAAGCTGAGTTTCAAGACTAGTTACTCTGGTGTTGGTTTAGCTGGGGGTTATGGTACAGCTAGGGGTGGACAAGGCAGTAGCACATGGGTTCAGATAAAACTGTGCTGGAACTCACCAAGGCCTGACTGTTTTGTCTTTAGGGGAAGATGATGAAGATGCTCCTATGATAACTGGATTCTCAGACGATGTCCCCATGGTGATAGCGTGAAAGAGCTTTCCTCATTAGAAACCAAATGGTGTAAATATTTTATTTGATAAAGATAGTTGATGGTTTATTTTAAAAGATGCACTTTGAGTTGCAATATGTTATTTTTATATGGGTCAAAACCACAAAAACAAATTTAAAAAAAAAAAAAGGAAAGAAAGGAATGAATAAACTTTGTAGTATCAACTGTGAACTTGAAGCCAGGTTGATTTTAGTAACCATGTTGCTTTGACCTGACATTGATATCGTCTTACAGGGCTGTGCTTGCTGGGCATGCTTTTAAGTCTGTGAGATCATTTTGGTTCATTAAATTGCATTCTTTTATTTTTCTAAGATACAGAAATGTATTTAATAAAAACTTCGAGAGTGATGGGTGGAATCCATTCTCCTTAAATACTGTTCAGATTTTACATTTTGTTTGGGTTTAGTTTATATGAAAGTGTTTGGGTATCATATGGGGGAAGGGAAAGTTCTTTTCTATTGTTTTGTTAATTTATTGGGACTTTGTATAAGGCTGGCCTTGATTGGCCATCTGAAACTGCATGTGTTAAGATGCCCTTGCCCATCAGGCTGGGAGATGGGGAGCAGAAGCAATCCACTGTCACTCACTTAAGTGTCACAGAAGGGTCTTTCAAGAGAGCACAGGGGCAGTGTGAGAATCTAGTTCAACAGAACTGCACCTGGGAAGCCCTGCAAGCTGTGGTCCCCCTCTTCTAGGACTCAGTGGGTTTTTACTGTACAAGGTGTAGCTCTGGAAGCTACCAAGTGATAACACTGCTTTCTTACACACTGGGATCATTGCTATTGTTTAAAAAAATAATGTGGTTGTGAGAGAAAGTTCTAGATCTGTGCCATGATAATTATACATTGGCAAAAAATAATATGCCATGTCTTCATTTTATTTTCACTTTTTGTTTTTGTTCTTACCACCAAAGACTCTCAAATGTAAAGTTTTATACTGTGGTTGAGTCACTGAATTGCCCTCAAAGTTCATACTGACATATGCAGTCATTCTGAATTCGGTCAGTGCCTTCTTTAGGTTTCCTTCCTTTTCTTCCACCTCCCTCAATGTGTCCCTGCCCAGCTACAGAGAGACTGTTGTATACATTTGTAGAGATGGAGGTGATCTAAGTATGTGACTGCTCTATCTAGTCCACAGGGGACCAACACCAAACTTGTTCCTTTGCTTTCTCTCTGAAACACCTTCTGCCATCTAAATGTAATCTCTGATTGAAAGGTACTTGGTCTCAGCATGGCTTCGCACCCCACCCTTCAGACTTAGTGTTGTAGGCACCAATGTCTAGCATATTGTGACTTGTACTGTATGAAGAACTTCACTGAGAATCCCACCCCCCTGCCCCCCACCCCAGTGGAGAAGCAGCAAGCTCTGGGGATATTTCAAAGTCATGCCTCTGAATATATATGCAAGCTTTGTAAGCCTGTCTTCCCCTTATATGCAATGCAAGAGTTTGGTTTTCTTTAATCAAAAGTATCATTCTTGGGTGGTAATGTAGTCTCATCATACCTAAGCATTGTTTGGAAAGCAAAGTGAGAGCCCGTTAGCTTTTTAGTTTATCTATATCCTAGATGGGAGTACTTTGGCCTGGATATTCAGTGTGCTGTGCTGGAGTTCCTGGCATCAGTGGTGGGAATGGTAACTCTTTTTTGCAACTTACTTTTGTCCTCTTTCCTCTCACTCTCCTTTTCACTTTTTTTTCCAGACTGGAATCTCTTTGGCTTTATCTTGTCTTGCTTTGTTCAGAACTCCTACAGCCCTACCACCTCCACTTTCATGGACTCTTTTAAGTAGCCAAAAGATTAATAGTCTGGTGGGAGGCAAGCCATCTAATCGAACCACTATGAAAGTACATTTTCTTTTTTTCCTGCTAATTTTTTTGGTGGCAGTTGTAGAGGCGCTAAGACATTATTTTCCATTATTCCATAGGAAAGCCTTTTTACAGAGCCTATGGCTCCAGTTGGCAACCTGAGCTGTTGCTGAGCATCCAGGCCCATCTCCAGGGTCCCCTGATGCTGAACCATAGTACTGTACAGATCCACTGCCACCCTTCTCCTCAGAAGATGCACTGTGCTGCTTGAAAACATGCAGCCTTTTAGGGCTAGAGTATTTTATATAAATAGAAGAGCTGAGGTCCTGAAGACTAAGCCAGATAGATGCAGCTATGTGTAAATTGTATATTTTTGTGAACTTTTGAAGCACGCACTCCTGGTTCCCTCTGCTTAGCCTTGTGGATGTTTTGATGTATCTGTGCTTGTCTGAAAGAGTCCAGAGGTTGGAGTGACAATAGGAAATGAAAACCAAGCTATGTGCAGCCTTCAGAGGTGACAGGATAACTCTTTACTGTGACCACTTGGACCCCTGAATGCTTGTTGAGAAAGGGATCTTATACCTCATTAGAGATGCCACGTGGAGAGTTCCTATTGCACAGGGAATGGGATATGCAGAAATACTAGGTACTTAAGTCCCTGTAGACTATGCGGAAACTGAATTTTCTCCTTTCTGTACTGAATAACCCTTGAGCTCCATGGGACACAGGTCCATGTGGATGCAGTGACAGAGTGGAGTTCCTCCGAGGACTCCAGGGAGAGGCCATATCTGAGCCAACCTATTTACAGACAGGTGAGATGCCCCATCATTGCTCAGTGTCTGGCAAGCTGCTGAGGAACTTTGGGTGGAGTGGTTCCTCAGGCTTCACCTCTGATTATATCACTAGGTGTGTTTGTGAGCCTGTAAGGGACACGCACTTGAAAGCTCTCTCATGTACAGAGGACCTGCTAGATTAAACCGTACTCTCCGGTTTAGGAAATATGCCCTTCTGAAGGCACTAGATATTGGAGGGGAGCTAGGGAGAGAAATGGTATATCGACCCCTTAATAGATAAGCACCCTTGTCTCCTTGATGCATCCTGTCATCAGATGCCATTCAATGGTCAGCACATCTAGTAAGACTGTATACCCATGGCCCAAATCCCATCCCATCAGATTGGTTGTTCCCTGTCCTGTGAAGGGGGCTATGGTGAGTTCCTGAGAATTCTCTTCCTTCAGCAGAGAGATGGGGAGGTTGGTCCTCACGGAAGAGATCCAGACATACAACTAAATTGACTACTATCCCCATTGTGACTTAAGGAATCGACTCTTAAAACTCTGTGCAAAGCCTTCACTTGTGTTGGAATTGTATCTTGACATTCCTATGATGTTATTTTCTTAGCTGGAGTGTGTGCTGCCTTTCAGGTACAATTTTTGTGTAATAAAAGCCAGAGCATTAAGTTTATATAGACTACTTTCTATGCAAGACTGAGATGTGGAAGAGATAGCAATGATAAACGCTGTTGGGTACTTGGACAAGAAGTGCATACTCAGATGGAATACCACCACTGAACGTGGTTGAGGGAGGATCAGTTGCATATATGTTTCTGCCCACTCATTTCGAGCAGCCATATTATGAATTAAATCATCAGAGCCAGTGATGACCTAAGACTGGTATTAATTTCATGTGTAATAGCACCAATGGACTGAGCATAAATGCCGAAGTGGAATATTGCCCTCAGATACTCCATATCACTTCTCACTTAAAGACTCTTGTTAAGACTTATTAGAGACTTTAGGCAAAGTCAGAAGTATTTGCAGCAAAATAAAGGCCTGTTCTGCTCTTCTTTAAAGTGAAACACTGTGTACTTGTTTCTCTCCAAAGTAAGATTAGGTATTTATAATTTCAATCGCTTTGGTAGGTTTCCAAGTCACTGATTTCTGCTGAAGATTTTACTATATTGTTGCACAATGTTAAGATAATTTTTTGTCTTGATGTCAACTTTTTTCACTGAATAAAAATTTAACTGAGTCAAAAAACACCACCTATTTGAATATGTACTGTGTGTGTGTTACGTTGTTCTTTCGAGTGCAATAAAGATGGCTAACGCAGTCTCCGAACACCATCTGACTTGTCTCTTTGAAAAGGATGTTTATGTCATAAACGAAAGAACACTAAGACCTCGGATAATTTTGTTATTAAGGAGCTGGTCTCGGATGGTGGAATCTAGGACACAATGTCTTTGTCTTGGCTGATGACTGGGGAGGTGTCATAGCAGGTATTCTGAAGTAAATAGAATGATTCCATAGGGCTGGTGGCTGAAGTAGCTCCCCTAGAGATGTAACTACATTTGGATGAGACAATTCACTAAGAAGGCAATTTTCGAATCTTAGAGAAGAAAGCTCGGCAGTGCGGAAAAGCTGTACCCAGAAGAGCTGCACCCTTTATACGCAGTGAAACCTTACAGAAAACGTTGCCCTTGCCTCTTGAGGACCAACGAGCGACAAGCAGACTGATCAATTGGGATTAGAGGATGTGAAACAGGTGGTGGACACATTTGTTTTCTAAATTGTAACAGTGCTGTTGGCCGGGTTTGCTGCTTTTGTTCAGAAGTTGAGCCAAAACAAGTATTTCCAGTTTCATAGATGAGATTTTTACAAAGGCACAGAAAAAGTATGTTGATTTGTTTAGCGGAAACCAGAGAGTGAATGGCAAACCCAGCTTCAGGTGTAGGTTCCTCTGACTCTACATCTTGTTCAGCATCCCTGTGCCAACAACTTCATGCCATCATTCAGTATTGGGATGAACACACTAAGTCCAACACACTGACCAAGAAGTCCCAAGGGGCACCCTGCCACCTGGGTGAATGTGCCTGGTCATAACCTAGACTTAGGTTTTCAGACTTAGATAACTTGCCATCTAACAACTCTAGTTTATTCATCTCTCATGGTAAACAAACCTTGACCAACCTCATGAGGCTGGCATGCAACATTGTATGTCCACTTAATAACTCACTGTGGAAAACTCTGGTCCCAGAATGTCACGTGACCAGTGTATTCTCCTGTTGTGGGGAGATCTGTCTAGGAAGTCAGTCATAAATAGGTCATGACTTAGTGAACAGGGATGAAGAACAAAAGAAGTTGGAGGGATCTGGGCTATATTAGTGGTTGCCCAGTAAATAAGGAGACAAATGATTGACAGTGTACCAGGAATCCTCTCAACTCAGCACTGTTCAAGCTGCAGCTTCTTCTAGCCAATGCTATTAGGAAGGTCTTGCCAGTGGACTCCAACACTGAAAGTTCAAGTGTGATAGGACTGGGACACTGCCCAGGCCTGCTATCTGACTTTTGTTGTTAAGCCAACTCTTCCCTCTCAAAACACTGTAGCTGGTATTAATGTATCCAGACTGGGTTACAAGAGAAACTTCCTGGCTTGAGAGCCTTTATGAATTTCTACATTATCCAGCCTGCCCTGTATTGCTCTAGAAGTTTAGTTCTGGGAAGACAATTTCTAACTCCTAGGACATAGGTCTATGTACCCCTGTCCCATTCTGACTTCATCATCAGTCAGCTGTGGTCATGTGGTTCCCCTGGCCCACAGCACATTTAAGCCAGGAAGAAATGCTAAAGGCAAGTACCCTGAGAGCAATGGGAGAGGACAGAAGCCTTAGAAGCACTTGACCAGAACATTTTCTTAGAGATAAGGGAACTCCAATCAACATAGCCTGTGGGGCTATTTAGCGATGGACAGACATCTTAAACATCAAGTAACCCATCAGACTAGAATTATGGTTCCCTTCTTTTGGATCTATACTCTGTTAGTCACTATCCTAAGCCATTTATGAAAATATTCTTAATTTTGAAAGTGATCCCTTGATTAGGTATTAATCTTTTCTTTAAAAAGATGATAGGTTTAGAGAGGTTGAGAAGCTTCCCCCAAGCTCTCACATGCAGCAACATGGGAGAGTCCAGACCAGCTAGCTGACTTCCATTCATAAGCCTGTTCTGTTAATTCATGTTATTTTTCCATGTCTGTAAGAATGATTCTACTGTCTGTTTACGGACTTCCACACAGGTAATACATTTTAAAAACATTCCCACTAGAAAAAAATTTAAATTCAGAGACATAAACACACTCAGATTTTCTTGAAAGCTATTCATGTAGAACACAGTATTCCTTCTTGATGTCAGAGCAATGAAGCCTTAACAACATGGTAAATGTTTTTGTAGAGATTTTCATGGTTAGAAAAACAATAGCAGATTCTTTTGTTTGCAGCAACCTGGTGAAATTGTATCGAAACCCTTCGCATTGTGGATAAGGTTTTCAGTGCATATTTTATTCACTGGTGTGCGCACAGTGATATACATCCCAACGTTGTCCAGCAGGGCAGTCATAGTGCTAGGAGGACACCATTAGTGTCCCAGACAAAGGAGGTGGCTGCCCTTATTATCAGGTCCCAACTGGCTTTGATGCTAGCACCCCATTAATTTCTTTAAAAGACTATGTGTAGGGTAACATGAGCCTGAAATGATTCCAGAACAATGATGATTCGCTTTTGAAAATGCTAATGTTCTCATTGTAATGTCACAACCCTACTGAATGCCGTAATGACAACTGGTAACAGTTTGGGAATATTTGTATGAAAACAATGACATTTCATATTTTAAACTTGGCATCAGCAAACTTTGAGGAAGAAAAATAAGGCTCAGATTTACATGTAAATCAGCCTTTTATGAAATTTGCCCTTTGGTTGTGTGCCATTCGGCAAAGCCTTCAGGACTGATCAAACGAAGAGGTTTCATAATTAAGACATTTTTCAATCTCTAGTAAGGGCAGAGCCAATTAGTTATCCAGGGATGGATTTGTTTGGCTGCTGCTAAACTGTCTGGATGTTTGTGCACACGTGTGTTTCTCATAGGCAGCAGATAAAACAACAACAAGCTCTTGGCTTCAGAAGTACTCTGAAGGCTGGAAACTGGACTGCTCCAAAGAATGAGCACACCTTCAAAGGAGGAAATTGTGTCACAGGTGGCGCCAAGGAGTGTGTTTAAGACTGAAAAGCACACCCCTCCAAGGTGGTCTGAAAAATCTTTTGAGCAATGGCATATTGTTACAATAAATACATTAAATATGTCATTGCTATAGGCCAGACACTCTTCCAAGGACATCTTGTTTTAAATGATCACATCCCTTAAAGGGTGTATTAATATTTTTATGCCATAGAGAAGGAATCAGAAGCAAGGAAAGGCTAAGACATTTGCCCACAGTCACATCATCTAGAAAGCAGAAGAGCTGAGGTAAAAAGCCTGGTTCCAGAGTTCCTGTCATTCCTTACTATAAAGCCCCTCCACAAGACCCTTTTGATAGCACAGATTTGGGTGTATACACCAGGAATTTATTCTAACCAGCCAGTTTACCTTTTTAAATAATGCTCTTTTGTGAGAAAAACATTATACAAGGAATTTCTATCCATTATAAAAATTTGGGGAAAATAAAAGCACCAAGAAGAAAATGAGATTTCCTGGTAATCCAACAGCTGGCCACTGGGAACATCTGGCATGTCTCTTTTTATCACTTTGTTCCATAGGAGCAATTACATATGTTTATGGTTCTCTTGTGAATAAGTCTGTGAGGGGCGGTGTACCAAATCTCTGCTGTTTCCCTTAGGTCTTGGTTCAACTAAAAGGCAAGTCCAAATTCAGGTGTTAGAAGCAAGGCCACTTCTTCCCTTTGGTCCCTACAAAAGAGTTTTGAAATAGACTTGCTTTGAAGATCACTGGAACCAAGGAATAGCCACCATGCTGCCAGTCATTGCCTTTCTCCTGTCATTACAGTCAAGTGCTGAGTCATCATCTACCTAAGGGAGCTCGCAGGAGGGTGTCTTTGAGTCACTTTCTTTAGAACTCAGCAAACTTGCACTTGGATTCTCAGAAGACAGGAGGATCAACTAAGAATGCATGGAGAACTTCAGGAATATAAAAAGTCAGACAACATGGGCATAAGCATGGTGGTCACATTCAGCATGTTTACCACTGAAGGAACCAGACTCCCCAACCAGAGAGGTATCTGAACTCCAGGGAAGATAAGAGTCATCTAAAGGTTGCTGGCAGCTGGGTAGAGGGACCCAACTATGGATCTATGCCATGGGATGAGAGGGATGAGGAGTGGGAGAGATGGAAGGGTACTGCCTTCAATTGCCACGACAAAACATTCTGACCAGTACTAACTTGGGAAGGAAAGGGTTTACTCAGCTTACATCTCCTAGGTCACAGTTTATCACTGAAGGAACCCAAGGAAGGAACTCAGAGCAGGAACCTGGAGGCAGTAGCTGGAGCACAGGCCATGGAGGAATGCTGCTTACTGGCTTGCTCCCCTGGCCCATCCTCAGCCTGCTTTCTTACACAATACAGAACAACCTGCCCAGGGGTGACACCACCACAGTGGGCTGGACCCTCCCACATCACTCAAAAATCATGAAAATACCCCCACAGACATGGCCACAGGCCAGTGCAATGGAGGAAATTCCCCAATTGAGGTTCCCTTTACCCAGGTGTATCAAGTTGAAAATTAAAGCTATCCATCACAGGAACTTAGTGTTGGATGGTGAATATGCTTTCCATTTTGACTGCACAGGGACTGTATCAAATGGTTTTCCTATGTGTTACATTGCAGCACAGAGCATATCAGGCCAGAGCCAGAGGGTGTAGTGTGGGAATCCATGTGAATAGACACTGATCCTCCTGTTAGAATCACTTAATGTCTATGGTCCCTAGAATAAAGAGGTATCAAACAGGAGGGAGAGAGACTCCCAAGGATTGGGGTAGCCCCTAGAGAAATTAAAGATAAAAGTCAAGTCTCAAGCCCTAAAAGAAAGATCCAAAACTTTTGGTGATAGAGCCCCTGATCATGGGTCCCATAGCAACACGCATTCAAGAAGAACTTATTGAACGCTCCCCGGTACCTAGTCCTATGTTAGCTACCAGGAATACAATGTGGAATAAGACTGTGATGACTCCTGCTCTCTGGGACAACTTGTAACAGATCCTCAGGGCTGAGAGGCCATTGTGAATTCCATGTGGATGTTATAAGTGATTTTATAAAAGAGGAAACAGAGATTGAA